TATTTTACTGTGTAGATTTGGGACCTGACCCTCCAGTAATTTCCATGTGTATATTATTTGGTATCTCTCTTGTCTCCTTTCTAGAGAGTACATTTGGAGAGCTTTGAGACGATCCCAATAATTTAGGTGTTTTATCTCGTCTATGCGTGCCGTATATGTTCTCTGTATTCCCTCTATTTCAGCAATCTCTCCTGCTCTGAAGGGGGAAGTGAGTACTGAGCAGTACTCGAGACGGGACAGCACAAGTGACTTGAAGAGTACAACCATTGTGATGGGATCCCTGGATTTGAAAGTTCTCGTAATCCATCCGATCATTTTTCTGGCTGACGCGATATTTGCTTGGTTATGCTCCCTAAACGTTAGATCGTCGGACATCATTATTCCCAAATCCTTGACATGCTATTTTTCTACTATGGGAAGATTCGATTGTGTTTTGTACCCTGTATTATGTTTCAGATCCTCATTTTTGCCGTACCTGAGTACCTGAAATTTATCACTGTTAAACATCATGTTATTTTCTGCTGCCCAATCAAAAACTTTGTTGACATCTGCTTGTAGTTTTTCAATGTCTTCAGCAGAGGTAATTTTCATGCTGATTTTTGTGTCATCTGCAAAGGACGACACGAAGCTGTGGCGTGTATTTTTGTCTATATCAGATATGAGAATAAGGAACAGTAGCGGTGCAAGGACTGTACCTTGAGGTACAGAGCTTTTAACATCGCTTGGACTCGATTTTATCTGATTGACTGTTACTCTTTGTGTTCTGTTCGACAGGAAATTGAGTATCCAGCGTCCTACTTTTCCAGTTATTCCCATTGACCTCATTTTGTGAGCTATCACCCCATGGTCACATTTGTCGAACGCCTTTGCAAAGTCTGTGTATACAACATCTGCATTTTGCTTTTCTTCTAGGGCTTCTGTGATTTTGTCATAGTGGTTGAGTAACTGTGACAGACAGGATCTTCCCGCTCTAAATCCATGTTGTCCTGGATTGTGCAATTCATTGTTTTCCATAAAACTAGAAATTTGATTCCTAATCACTCTTTCAAACACTTTTATTATGTGTGATGTTAGTGCAACTGGCCTATAATTTTTTGCCAAGGCTTTACTCCCCCCCTTGTGCAACGGAGCTATATCTGCAGATTTAAGTGCTGCTGGTATCTCCCCTGTATCCAGGCTCTTTCTCCATATTACGCTGAGTGCTCTCGCTACTGGTACTTTACATTTCTTTATGAATATTGAATTCCATGAGTCAGGCCCAGGAGCTGAGTGCATAGGCATATTATCAATTTCTCTTTCAAAGTCTTCCGAGTTTGTGGTAATATCCGTTATATTATCTGCAGCTTGAATGTCATTCATAAAGAAGCTGTCTGGGTCATCAACTTTCATGTTGTTTATTGGTGTGCTAAACATAGCCTCATACTGGCTTCTTAGAATTTCACTAATCTCTTTGTTGTCCTCTGTGTACGTACCTTCATTTGTAATTAACGGTCCAATACTGGTCGAGGTTTTGGATTTTGATTTTGCGTATGTGAAAAAATATTTCGGATTTTTCCTTATCTCTTGTATAGCTTTCTGTTCCAATTCCATTTCCTCAGACTCATATGATCGCTTCAACGTTTGTTCTATTTCCTCAATCTCCCTGCTTAGGCTTGTTTTCCTTGCTTGTGATAGTTGTGTCTGCCGAAGCATTTCCGTTATTTTTTTCCTTCTCCTGTACAGTCGTCTCCGTTCTCTTTCTAGAGTGGTCCTCTTTCTGCCCCTCCTCACAGGCACGTGCTTCAAGCAGACCTTGTAAGCTTCAGCTGTCAGTTGAGCTATTCCCTGTGTGGGAGTTTTGTCGCTTAAGACCGTCTCCCATTGAATGGTTGCAAGGTCTACATTTATTTTTTCCCAGTCAATCCTCTTATTGTTGAAATTGAATTGATTGAATATTCCTTCTCGCTTGTTTGGTCTCTTAGACCTACTACCGTTATTTATGCTAGTTCGCACTTCAATGGGCTTATGGTCTGAGTATGAAGTATCTGAGATTGTGATATCCCTGATTAGTTCATCATTGTTTGTGAATAACAAGTCTAGTGTGTTTTCGTTCCTAGTTGGTTCTGTAATCTGTTGATTGAGCGAGAATTTGTCACAGAATCTCAAAAGTTCTCTAACCTGTGGTTGGTTATTTCCCGGGTCATTCCCTGCTATGATATTTGTGTTTGCCGTTCTCCATCTTAGACTCGGTAAATTGAAATCTCCAAGAAAGATAATATCTGGAGCTGGGTTTGCTAGGTTGTCAAATATGTTCTCTATTTTGTGCATCTGCTCTGTGAATTCCTCAATCGTTGTATCTGGCGGTTTATATATTAGAATAATAATTAAGTTTAGTTTCTCTACCTTCATTCCAAGTACCTCTACCACCTCATTAGTTGAATTTAGTAGTTCTGTGCATACCAGGTCTTCTTTAATATACAGACCTACTCCTCCATTTGACCTAGTTTTTCTATCACATCTATATAGATTATAATTTGGAATCCAGATTTCACCATCCATGTAATCTTTTGTATGAGTTTCCGTGAATGCCCCAAATATTGAGTTTGACTCTAATAGAAGGCCATTTATGAACTTAACTTTATTTCTTGACTTTGGCTTTAAACCTTGAATGTTTGCAAATATGAATGATTGTCCATGTTGTGTGTAACTTCTGGAAGGTTTTGGTAGTTCTCCCTCCTCTCTACCCTGACCCAGGGTGTGTTGTTGTGGCAATGGTTTGTCCAGTTTTGGAAGTGATACTGGGGAGTGTGGTAGTCTCTGTGTAGTTGGGGGGTGTAGTATGTGTGGGCTTGATGCCGAACTGTAGTCCAGTCTTGGGCATTTCCCCCTCTCCATCCGTACTCCTGCCACGTTTCTGCCTGTCTGTTTCTCCCTCTGTTTGTACCTGCCTCTAAAAAATTTTCAGGGCTATTATGTTGGACTTCTTCTCTTATATGGCGCTGTGTACCTCTGACGTGGAAATCGGGGCAGTGAAGATCGTAGCATTTCCTCTCATTGACTGAGAGTGTGCATAGCTTAGGGTGAAAATATATACACTCTGTATCAAAACGACATCTGCCTTTCCCTAACCAGTTTCGGCATTTCCGTGGGTGCATGAATGAGCATTCCGTGCCTCTGGGCCCATATCTACACTGTCCTTTTGCATAATACCAGCAAATATTTTCATTTGTGATTGTATTATTCTTGTTTGTACCCGTGCACGACTTGGCTACCTCTGTGTTTTTTGTTCCAACTTTCTCGTTTCTGCATTCATTCTCGGTATTGCCCTTATCTTTCTCCTTGTTGCTTTCGTCTTTCTCATTTGTGTTCTCATTCGTCTCATTTTTTCTCTCCTTATTCATATCACCAGTGTGCTCTACACTATTGCCTTCATTTTTGTGTACCTCGACACTATACCCGTCTACATTGCTACTTTGACTCTCTAAATTCTCAGTCCCTGGGTTGTGTTCAGAGTTCGTTGCTGTCTTTATATACTCTGCATATATTTCTGGTAGTTTTTGTGTGAATTGTAGCCTGTGTTCTTCAGGAATGTTAGTCATTAGTTTGGTGATGTTTTCCCACATCTGTCTGTCTCTTTGACAGATCCAGTAGTTACCTTCCCGGTTTGCATATTGTGTAGGTAATCCTGTACAACTTAGGTGAAACCTTATGTTACAAATGTTACATACAATGCCTACAACACTCTTCCGAAGTGACTTAAGGCAGCCTCCACACACCTCCATGTTGGGTTTGTGATGTTATAATAATATATGCATATATTTAAGTATTATATGTATATGGGTGCTCACTTGCGGTTAACGCGTGGCCCGTCTTCAACTCGTCGGCGGGTGGAGCGTGACCAGGTTTTTTGTTTTATATGCTAATGTTCCTCTAGAGAATTCTATTGCGAACCCATTGATACCAAAATGAAAGACCTAGGACGAAAATTGAGGTGACCAGAGTGAAAAGAGTGAACACATTTTATCGCTTTTGCGCGATCCTGGGTAACTCGTTTGCACTTTCTCTGTTTGCTGCGGGTAATTAGCCGAGCTTTTGGAGTTTATATGCATTTACTGCTGTAGAGAATTCCATTGCGAACACAATGATACCAAATTTAATCTCGTAGGACGAGAATTAAGGTGACAAATTTGAAGAGAATATACACTTTTCAGAATTAACGCGCGCTCCCGTGAAACTCTGGGACCCAAATCGCACAGTTGAGGGGTGGCGCGCGGGGTACGCCAAAGTGTTAATGGAATTTAAACTTATTCCTTTCTTTCCAAATTCTTGTTTTGTTTGCAGTCCTACACCTAGTAGAATGTCAAGATTTTCAAGATCTCAAGACTTCTCAGTGAATACAACTTTCATTTGTACCTCTCCATTGTTTTGCTCTCGTATGAGCATCATGAGTGATGTCTAGTTAATTCTGAAGGTTATATGTATAGTGCCAGGTAGCTTTACTGGCTATTATTTTTTTGTAGAAAATCATATGGCATTTCACTAGTCCTTCGGATTCTGCTAATACCACCAGGTGAATGAGATCTTGGTGAGTAGATATATTGTTATATGTTACATTTACTGTGTGGCCCATTGAAGGTAGCACACATCTGTGTTGCATGGGCCACAGTATATATTACTGTACTTCCAAGTGCTCTTCTTTTTGTATGTGGTGTAGTTTATTTTCTGACCGAGAGGTCGCCAGAGCCTCATGGCAATAATCAAACGACAAGCCTCCCCTTCCAAATTAACATTGAATCACCTTTTCCAGGTGATCATTTCATTTGTTTTATGAATAAAATCCATTCGTGAATTGCAAATAATATCGGGTTATAATATCCAGGATGCACCAAAACTTTGCCAATTCCTTTATTTAAAGGTGTGTGGATTGGGTGGCTACTATCTAGTAGTCTGCATTCGAGTGATTAAGAGTTGTAGAATATGGTACTAAGATCGTGCATTAAATGTGGCTTGTTTATTTTCAGAAATATCCTGTGGAACAAATTCGACCCTGGCCACTAAATCTTCGGACAAATCAGACAAACAGACCCACGCTTCTAGACCTTGAAACTGATCTACACAAACCCCTATTAGAGGTTAGTTGCATGCCTGTATTGCCTAATTGTAATTTCCAAAATGTAATTACAGGATGAGAGCTGTAGTCATGGTGTCCCATCTTCCGAGTGCATTTTGTTATATGATGCTTTGAAACTATGTCACCTTCTTGTTTAACTTGTTCCAACTATCTATGACTCTGTTTGCAAACAAAAATTTTTAATATTTTTTCAACTCCTTAGTTTCCTTAGCTTGACTTAATGACCTCTTGTTCTTGAAGTTGCAGATTTCAAGAATTCCTCTTTGCCAATTTTGTCAGTTCCTGTTACTATTTTGTATGTAGTGATCATATCACCTTTTTTTTTTTATTCCATTTTCTATCTTTGGCACGTTTAATGCCTCTACACTCTCTCTCTCTGTAGCTCAAGTTTTTCAGCTCTGGAAACCATTTTGTAGCATGCCTTTGCCCCTTTTCCAGTTTATTGATGTGTTTCTGTGATGTGGGTACCATACAACTGTTGCCTATTCCAGTTTTGGTCTCACAAAAGTCTTGAACTGTTTGTTTAATATTTTACAATCCATGTATTTAAAAGGGATTCTGAAGTTGGAAAGTGTTGCATATGCTCCTGGCATAATGTCCTTCATGTGTTCCTCTGGTGACTGTCTACTATTTGGAACCACCCCTGAATCTCTTGTCCGAGTTCTTTAATGCCTTTCTACATAATTTGCAGGTTGTCTGTGGCCTGGTTTCTCCATAACATGGCATATTCAATTCCATAACATGGCATATCACATTCAATTCCACAACATGCCATATATTCACATTCAATTCCATTTGACAGTGTTGCTCCATACACTTACTTTGTCCATGTTATCTTGTAGGACACGACAAATCGTCTAAGCTTACCTTCCCTAGTAGCTTGTAATCAACAACAAACATCTTTACATAATTCTGTATTCCTTTTGATAAATCATTTATATAGAACATTACTGGTGCAAGAAGTGAACCTGTGGTACTCTGCTAGTAATACTACTCCTGTCTGAAACATTGCTTCTGATTGCTGCCCTCATCTTTCTGGCAGTTAGAATATTTTTCAGCAATGTAAGCAGCCTGCATGTCACCCATCAGCATGTTCCAGTTTCCAAATCAACCTCTTGTGGGTGTTAAAAGCCTTTTATTTTTGTTTAGATCCAGACAAATACAATAAACTCGCCGTCTCTTTCCTCTAGAATCTCTGTGGCTCTATCATAAAAAGCTAAGTAGAGTTGTTACACAGGATCTTCGAGTTCAAAAACCATACTGTCTGTTAATATATAATTTCTTTCCAGGTATTATATCTATTTGATTTTAACTTTTTTTGTGTGTTTTGGTTACCATGCTTGTTAATGATATGGGTCCATAAATTAGAGGAGTCGTCTCTGCTACCATTTTTTGTAGATTGGAACGATGTGACACTGACACTCAAAAAATAGCATTGTTTGGCCCCCACAATAAGTTAAATGCAATAATCATTTTGATAAAGTAGTTTGACTATACTGACAGCACTGCTACATTATGGCATGCTTTATTTTCTCCCTCTCCACAATCTTTGAGGGGGACAGCTTGTGGCTCCCTGAAGCTGTCTCACTAAGATGGATTTCAGTTACTGTATCACCCATGGAGTTCTGTTTGGGCTATTAGAGACCAGAACCAGAACCTGCCCCCCCCCCTCCCCCACCGGCTGAGTGGCCAGTGCTCGGGATTCGTAGTCCTAAGGTTCCGGGTTCGATCCCCGGCTGAGGCGAAAACAAATAGGTAGAATTTCTTTTACCCTAATGCCCCTGTTTACCTAGCAGTAAATAGGTACCTGGGTGTTAGACAGCTGTTAAGGGCTGCTTCCTGGGGATGTGTAACAAAAAAGGAGGCCTGGTCGAAGACCAGGCCGCATGGACACTAAGCCCCGAAATTATCTCAAGATAACCTCAAGGTAACCCCCTACACCAGGTACAAAGAGCAGATGGCACTCAGTCACCCCACTGGAAAAGCATCCAGAAAGTCAGAGAAACAAATACAGGCCATTGCTGGGTTCAAAGGGACCAAAGACTCAAAACTGTCAAGCTAACTTCACCAACAATGTAAAGAAACAATCAAATGAAACAAGTGCAAACTCATTAGCACTATCCTCTCTTCCCTTGCTGAGGTGGCCGTAGAGCCTCCAGTGCCCACTGAGCTGTGAAGCCAGGTCTGTCGCAGATGTGGTTAGTAGTACACGTCCATTGTGAGGCTCCCGAGTTGTCAGCACTCTTGTGGCGAGTCATGCTGTTTCTCAGCTAAGTATCAGCCATCCTTGGACTTTCTCCTCTGGGGTGGTTTTGATTTTATTGTTGCATGACGAGCATTTATTGTTCATTTTATTGTTCACTGGACCTGGCTTATAGTGTGTTTAGAACTGTATGGGCTCAGGGTACCCTTCCCTGAGTGCTGCCCCTTCACTATCATTTCTCCACCCCCATCCCCCACCCAAACTAGGGGAAGGAGTGCTAATGAACTTGCACTTGTTTCGAGAAATTCAGTCATTTGTTTACTTTGTTGGGGGAGTTCGTTTGGCAATTTTAACACTTTCACGCTCGGCGCGTGAGCGTCGCACACTTCCCCGAAATGCTCCCGATGTTTCGGGCGATCGTGCGGTGACACTGAAATGTGTATACTCGTTTCAGTTTTCTCACCTTAATTTTTGTGCTACGTCGTTCCTTTTGGTATCATCATGTTCACAATAGAATTCCCTACAGGGATATATGCATATAAAGTCCAAAAGCTTGGCACGACCCTCCACTGCAATGCCGAAAGTCAGCCGAACATTACTCGTGAGTGCACAAAAGCAGTAAAATGTGTAGACTCGTTTCAGTTTTCTCGCCTTAATTCTCATGCTACGTCGTTCCTTTTGGTATTATTGTGTTCGCAATAAAATTCCCTACATGGATGTATGCATATAAGGGCCAAAAGCCCGGCGTGACCCCCACAGCAAAGCCTAAAGTCGGTCAACTGTTACCTGTGAGTGAGCACCAATTGGCACACCCGCACCCTAATGTGTATACTCTTCAGTTCAATAACATCAATTTTCATGTTACGTCTTTCATTTTGGCATCAAATTGTTCTCAATATAAAGGTGTGCATTTTAAAACTAGTGCCATAATAATAAAAAAATAAATGAAATTTTAACAAGTACTGTATTTTAATTTTGGACGCTCAACACAACAAAAGTATTTTTAATCTTTCCATTGTTCTGACATCAATTTTCAATCAACGTCGTTCATTTTGATATCAAATTGTTCGTAATCTAAAGGCACACACTTTAATACTAGTCCCATACTAATAGAATAATAAATGGAATTTTAACCAATATTTAAATTTTTAGCTAACTTTTTTTTACGTCGTCATTATGGTATCAAATTGTGCGCAATCTAAAGGCGCTCATTTTAAACCCAGTCCCAGAATGATCAGATAAAAATTAGAATTTTAACAAATATTTTAACCGGGGACGTGACCTGTGTCCCCGGCTCGGACACAAGAGAAAAATAATACACACACAGGCATGCCTACATGTATGAAAGTGTTAAGGCTTTGGTCTTTTTGAACCGAGCAGTGGTATGTTTTGTTCACTGACTCTGGGTGTTTACCTGGTGGTTTGGTGGAGTGTCACCAGCTCTCTGTGCTTTTGTGACAGGGGGCCAAGGCCACACCAAACACATTGAAAATAAGAATCTATAAAAGCTAAATAATTTATTTACAGGAAAAATGTGAGGTATTGGGAGGGGTGACAGGTGTTGGATGACATGGCCCCCAGGGACAGTGGCAGGTGTTGGATGACGTGGCCACAGGGACAGTGGCAGGTGTTGGATGACGTGGCCACAGGGACAGTGGCAGGTGTTGGATGACGTGGCCACAGGGACAGTGGCAGGTGTACTCTTTGGCTGGTGTGACTTAGTAGTTGGGAGTCATCATAGCTAGTTAGTCTCAGGAAGCCACTGGGGCTCACCCAGAAAGAGGCATTTCATTACATTCGGCACAGGATTTTTGCTTTATTTGCCTTCCCTTGTTTTCTTGTTATTTTTCAATTGAACACTCATAATGAAACATTTATAAATTTTCAATATTTTATTTTGCCAGCAACTGGCAAGTACTTCACTTACATTTAAGGTTAAAATATCAAATCAACTTGTAGAATTTATTGGTTGATGTTTAAATAGTTCCTTCAAAAGCCTGTAACATTTGAAGCATTTTAAAAATTGTCCTGAAGGAAAGGGGCTTTGTAATGGGTGCAGTACATTAAAGCTATTGGTAGATATATACTGTATAGAGAGTATTCATATCAATTCATTATAAAGTATTTTTCCTTTTCTTGTTCCCAGATAAGTGACAACAGTAATCCTTGGACAGTGTTTATTGAGACTGTGCCTCCTGATTCAGGTTTAAAGGCACTGACTGCCTTTGACAAAGATTCAGATGTTCTGCTTTTCTTCAAATATTACGACCCACGCCATAAGCGGTTACACTATTGTGGACACCATTATATGCACATCTCCTTTAATGTCCGTGAGTATAGTAGTTAGATCTCAAAATTTGTAAATGCATTATCAAATATTACTAATATATTTGTTAATATATTAGCAAGAGTTGACCTGTGGAGCTCTGTATATGTGTCTACAACCTTTTCTCCAAAGTTTCTTTTGGCACCTTTTTTGAGCAGTCGGTTTGTTTTTGGTATATTATTCAAACCCTCAAACCTGCCGCAGTTGTTATGTAGCTTTATTTTAAAATGTTACAAAAATTATTTTCTTCAATATAAATGTCCATAACTTTTCACCCGGCCATGGAATTAGTCAGCAGAGTGATTGAACTAATCATTATAGTACAGTATAGTGCAGCGTTGAAGATGCTGATATATCAGAGTCAGATTTTAAGAGTCTTTTGCACTATGGAGAGTATTTTAGACTTCCACTTATATGTTAATTACACAAATTATAGGTAGTTGACTGGTTGACCTTGATTGCCAATCAAAATTCTACAGTGGATGTATGTGTGTGTAATACATATACACATGTAATATATTCACACTCATACGCATATATATGTACATTCGGAATAATAACCCACTATAGAACAGTATTTAGAGAACACTTAAGAAATGTAGACTGAAAATTTTAAGTCCACCCTCTTCAATAGTGGGCAAAACATACTTGTGTAATGTTTAAACAATGTTATCATTGTTGAATTAACTATATTGACGTTGATTGAATGTCGATTACACCTGGAAAGGCTATTGTTGGCACTGTGTGGATACTCAAACCTACATCTCAGACTTCACAGCAGACACTGGTTGCTGCAATAAGAGCCAGTCCTACTTAAATACTGTAGTAGCATTGGGTTTTACTGCTGCTACCCTATGACACTTGCCATACAATCACAAATTCATCATGCAAAATTGAGAGAGATTAACTGCGAACCTCTGGTCTCTAGTCTCGGACAAACACGGACACACACACACACTTCCTCTTATAGATACATACATCTTTCTCCCTCTTATTGTCTCCCTCTCTCCTTATCTTGCTCTCTTCTCTCATTTCCTTGGCATTGTCAAGGAGTCTTGACTTGTGATACTTGTCTTCCTGACACACTCCCCTTCTCTTCCCCCCCCCCCTTTTTCATTTAATTTTCATTTATTCAATTATTTATTATACATTATAATAACTAAATTCTAAATAGTCTTTAATATGTTCACCTTCCCTCTGGCTCAGATCCTGTGAAATTAAGCTGATTTTTATCGTAATATATTTGACAATGAAAGTAAGAACTGGAAGTTTCACTAGAGGTATTCTGCACTATCTAGACACTGCCTGCTATCCTTGCCTTTATACAGTATACGAGTTCTTTGTCTACCTTGGTCCAGTCAGCTGTAGCACTTAAAATGTGAGAAATTGTCAGTGTTGTAAATGTTTATGTAGAATACTACATATGACCACTACCTTGTGAAAAATTCCTGTGACACTAGTAAAAACAAATACAATTTTTGAGTTTTATGTTTCAATGAATATTATTTGTTGACAGTTTTCAATATTTTGTGCAGAGGAGTTGGTACCATTGCTGAATGAGCGTGCGGGACTGCCACAGGGCACAGAATTAGCATTATTTGAAGAAATCAAGCCCAATCTTGTGGAGCGGTTAGCTGATCTTGACCGGCCATTGGAAAAGGTAAGGAACTTTTTTTTTTTCTTATACCAAATCTTGATTACAGTATTAGTATCCTATAAACTCAGCATTATTTATTACAGCTCAACTTTTTTTCACAGAAGGAAAATTAATTAAATAGTGTAACTAGACAATGTTTAACATTTCTTCCTGTCAGGTCTTAGCTAAGAGTATCTGTGTGGAACTGGAAGAAATATTTTTTTTTGGATTAAAAGAAGATTGGTATGCTATCCAGGGTTGTAAGGTCTTGTTCCTCTACTTATGGCTGTGAGGCATGTTACTCTACTTTGGGTTGTGGGGCCTCAGTCGCTTACTTTGGGCTGTGGGGCCTCTGTCGCTTACTTTGGGTTGTGGGGCCTCAGTCCCTTACTTTGGGCTGTGGGGCCTCGGTCGCTTACTTTGGGCTGTGGGGCCTCAGTCCCTTACTTTGGGTTGTGGGGCCTCAGTCGCTTACTTTGGGCTGTGGGGCCTCTGTCGCTTACTTTGGGCTGTGGGGCCTCTGTCGCTTACTTTGGGTTGTGGGGCCTCAGTCGCTTACTTTGGGCTGTGGGGCCTCAGTCGCTTACTTTGGGCTGTGGGGCCTCAGTCACTTACTTTGGGCTGTGGGGCCTCAGTCCCTTACTTTGGGCTGTGGGGCCTCGGTCGCTTACTTTGGGCTGTGGGGCCTCAGTCCCTTACTTTGGGTTGTGGGGCCTCAGTCGCTTACTTTGGGCTGTGGGGCCTCTGTCGCTTACTTTGGGCTGTGGGGCCTCTGTCGCTTACTTTGGGCTGTGGGGACTCAGTTGTTACTTAGGTGCCTTGGAAGAGAAGCAAAATGTCGATGTAATATCCATAGACTTTGCAAAAACTTTTGACAAATGTGACTAGTGTTATTGCTCACAAAATGCGTGCATAAGGAATTACTGACAAATTAGGAAGATGGATCTTCAACTTCCTAATGAACAGAAGGCAGTGTGTAATAGTCAACACAGTACAGTCTGGATCATCTACTGTGAAAAGTTCAGTTCTTCTCCAATGTACTGTACCTGCTCTGGTACTTTTTCTCATCCTAATATCAGACATACACAAGGATACAAACTACAGGGATACAAACTTTAACATCATTTGTAGATAACATTAGGATTTTCATGCGAGTCGGCAATATAGAGGACACGACAAACCTCCAATCTGATGTAAATCAAGTCTTTCAATGGGCCACAGATAATGTGATGTTTAATGAAAATAAGTTCCACCATTATGGAAAAGACAAATATATAAAAATGGAAGCCATATATATAAAACACAGTCAAATCACACTATAGGACGAACAATGTAAAGGATCTAGGAGTAATCATGTTGGAAGACCTTACCTTTACAGAACACAATAAGGTAGCAATCACAACTGCAAGAAAAATGACAGATTGGATAACAAGGACCTTCCGAACAAGGGATGCTATACCAATGATGATACTTTTCAAGACACTAGTATTCTCTAGGGTGGAATATTGTTGCACACTAACAGCCCCATTCAGAGCTGGAGAAATTGCTGACCTAGAGAGTGTGAACAGAGTCTTTACTGCTAGAATCCACTTTATAGTGCATTTTGATTATTGTACCGATTAAAAGCTCTAAATCTGTATTCTCTAGAGCGCAGGTTAGATACATAATAATCTACATGTAGAAGATATTAGAGGACCGATACCAAATCTGAACACGGAGTTACATCACATGAAACCAGCAGGCAGGGCAGGATGTGCAAAAGAACCCCCATTAAAAAGCAGAGGTGCAATAAGTATGCTGAGGGAGAACTCTATCTACATCAAGGGCCGAAGACTGTTCAATACTCTCTCCTGCTACACATAAGGGGCATAACTGGCTGGCCTCTCAGTGTTCAAGAAAGAACTCGACAAACCCCTCCAAAGAATACCTGATCAACCAGGCTGTGATTCATATGTCAGGCTGCGAGCAGCCGCGTCCAACGGCCTGGTTGACCAGATGACCAGCCGGGAGGCCTGGTCGGAGACTGGGCCTCAGGGTCATTGATCCCCAGAAGCTACACAAGGTAGGTAGGTACCTTGCTGGTTCAACTTAATCCTCAGCTCTACACAACTGGTTTTTCTGATGTGGGTGTATCACCATTTGTATAGTGATCAGGTGGCTTCTTTGTTGGTGTCCCACCTGCATTCTTCTCAGCGACAGTATGACATTTCTTGGCGGGCTTTCCACCCTTTTCTTTCTCTTCGTGTGTTTTTGCCGATTTTGGAATGGGTTATTTTGTCCTTTCTTGGCAATTTCTGGATTGGCATCTTATGTTTCATAATGCTGCTTCTTATTGTGCGGCATTTGTGGAGCTGCTGCTGCTTACATTCAGGGTGGATATTTCTTCTGCTTTGTTCCACAAGCTCTCATAAGTGTTTTCGCCTCAGGCCTGCTCTTGTGCCGCCTGTGCCTTGGACAGGCTTTTGGACAGTGTTCCTTTCATTCTTCTCCTTGGTTTCTTGTGGCCCCTTCTGTATGTGATTGTTTTTGGGAAGACTTGTTTTTGCTGCCTTTTCCATCTTTTCTGGTTCTCTGATGGTTGACGTGCTCTGGGTGGATCTGGTTTCCCTGGTTCCATGTTCCAGGGCTCTTGTGTCGCAGGTTTTCCGCAGTGTCATTAAGTCTAGCTAGCCTGCGGTTTACCCTTGTGCCCAAGATGTTCGAACATATGCTGCCCTAGCAGCGGTCTTTGGCAATGTCTTTGGTCGACATTCGGGCGCGGAGGTTTTGGGGGTCGTACAGGGTCCTGTCCGACCCCTTTCAAACCGGAACTTTCACATGTCTTGTGAATGTTCCAGTTCCTTTGCGTCATTGTGTGGCCTTGGGACCCCTGCCACGGCCATCTCTCTTCCTCGTCTTGAGACTTTCAGTGCTGCTGCCTCCCGGGTAAGTTTCTGTTTTCCTTATCTGTAGCCGACGGGGCTCCCCACAGAAAGCCAGTGGTGAATGTAATGAAACGGCAATTTCTGGGTGAGCCCCGGAGGCACCCTGACACCCTCCTTCCTTTCAGTCGGCAGCTTTTATCGTTCAAGAACTCTGCCAGCTTACCCAGGGTAGCTCCCCCCTCCTTGCAAGGTAGGGGGGAGGCTAGTTTTTATGACGTGTTGCTTGTTTATTTTCTTTCGAGGGGAGATATTTTGCTCTTTTGAGGATGTAGCTTGCATTGTGTAACCAGACAGTGGTCTGTTTTGATTCACCTACCTTTCTGGGTTATTTCCCAGTCGATGGCAATTATGACATAATTTAAATGTAAAGTGCTCATAGGCCATTGCTCCCTGCACCTCTGAGGCGTCCAGGTTTTGGCTCGTGGTCCCCGGTAGGTAAAGGGCTCCAAACTGATGTAGCACTATATCAGTTCAGATAGCTTCAGGGAGACTCCGGATACCAATAAAGTGGTGTTTCTTTACATTCAACAAGGATTTTTGTAATATTATGATATATTATAAAGGGTTTATGAATTAAAATCTGTGATAATTGTGTACTAATCATGCAAGAATGTTATAGATAAACAAATACAGTGTACTGGGTCTGGGATGCAAAATGTTGTATACCAGGAAAATTGTTTTACATTTTTACAATATTAGTGATATTGAAAGATAAATTATTTGTGAATTTTAGAAATGTAAGCTAATTGTTGACATTTTTTCCTTGTAAGGTGCTTGATGAGCTGATGGATGGAGACATCATTGTGTTCCAGCGTGACGACCTTCTTGATGATCCCAGCCTTGAGCTTCCGTCCTGCCGTGATTACTTTAGGGACCTCTTCTTCAGGGTTGAGGTTTGTTGTTAAATTTGTGTTGCAATTTGTTAGGCTTTGATGGGCTTTAATGTGGGCAATTTGCATTTGCAATGCTTTGAGTGCAAACTATTACAACTGGTTATAGGCTTCTGGGATCTATTTTTTTTTTACCAGTTTTTTCTGCCTGTTTGCTCTGTCCTGTAGTCATGAAACAATAGTGTTATGCACGTAAGATGACTCGGTTAACCTGTAACGTAATGCTATAAGTCACTGTGTAATGGAAGGTAGCAAGTGTAAAGTTGGTGTTTAATAAGTAGTAGTTTTGAGGTTAACTGTGCTGCCTAACGTGTTTGTACCCCACAGGGAGTGAGGTAAGGCTTACAGCTCGGCCTCCTGGCCATTAGGTATAGTGGTTTATTTTTTAGCTTATGTTTATACAGGATTTTGTTGACTTTTTTTAAGTATATATAGTACTGCACAATTTGTAGTGTCCATTTGATAGCTGGGGAGTAACTTTGGTTATTGGCTTAAAACTTTGAATACTTATGATGGTGCAAAGAAGATTCTTGTAGTTACTGGGCCATATAGCCCCCATCTCCCCTAGTGGTAGATTTTACAGTTATATAGTTTAATAATCATGTATGGGAGAGGAGGATTGTTAACCTTGAGTGGTTGGGTAAAGTTCCCAGTCTCCGGACACTTTTTGGAGTTAATGATGTTCTCAATGGATGAAAAAGTTATATTAGAATTATTGCAAACTTTATGGAATTAATCTAAGGAGATTGTTCCATAATGAAAGCTGTAGTTGCAATATCCACAGAGATAATTTCCAGGTAACCATAGTTTGCGTTGGCATATTGATGTTGCAAGAGAATGTTGGTTAGTGACATTCATGGATGATTTGCAGGAGGTAGGGACTGGTATTTGGTTTTGCCTTGTTTCTGGTCATTTTGTATGCTTTTTTTTAATATGTATCATGAAGAATATGCGTAAATCATCAATGTAAAGTCACACCATATTCCTTGCACTACAGTATATGGGGCCTTCTTTAATTTTCATTACTGTTCCCTTTAGTGATTTACTCAGTGTACTTGTATTTTTAGTTAATGTATAAATACTACATGCTGTACCTGAAGTTAGCTAACTGCAGTTACTGGATGAGATCTACACTTGTAGTGTGTTATATTGACTGCTCAACTCGAGGAACTTGGAGGACCTTGTCACTTTTTCATCTGATGGATAATATTCAATCTTCTAACTTTTAATATTTTCATCATGACAATGATATTCCAGCCCTTGTAAAGTCTTTGCAGGTTTGAGTGGCCTAAATGGTCATTGCATGCTTGTGGTGCATGCTCAACAACATTAATAGGCTGTTTCTTTCATAGTGAGCATCTACCTATTGATGCATAGGAAGGAAACTTGGTCTTTGGGGAATTTTGCCTAATATAGTAGATGGTTGGCAGAACCTTTAAGATATCGACAATAAAAAATACACCCACTGTCTTATTTATGTGACGTGTTCAAAATTGTCTTGGCACTGTGGAAGCTCATCATCTCAGGATGATGGACTCATGGTGCTCACTTACAATTTTGGGAAAGTGGAAATAGCACAAGAGTTAACTAATGAGTGAATTCATGTCAGCACTCTTAATTATTTTTAATACTAGTTTTATGTTGCTTACAGGTAACTTTCTGTGATAAGACAGTTCCAACAGACCCAGGGTTTATTATGGAATTGTCTCAAAGGATGAACTATGACCAAATGGCTCGAGCAGTCGCCCACCGTTTAGATACGGATCCATATCTATTACAGTTTTTCAAGTCACAGAGGTTAGTGATTTAGTACATGTTTTATTTTTTGCACGTTATTCTTTAAATGTTGTCGCATTCTTGCAAGTTAGCTTTCTTTCCTGGAGCAGGGTACTTAAATTTATATCCTCCCCCCCCCCCCCTCTTGTTTACACATTCTCTTGTATATTGATGCACTCACCTAGTTGTGTTTGTAGGGCTTGATTTTCAACTCTTAGGTCCTGCCTCTCTACTGTCAATCAACTGGGGCCAGATTCACGAAAGCACTTACGCAAGCAGTTACGAACGTGTACATCTTTCCTCAATCTTTGACGGCTTTGGTTACATTTATTAAACAGTTTACAAGCATGAAAACTTGCCAATCAACTGTTGTTATTGTTATAAATAGTCTCCTGGTGCTTCGGAGCTCATTAACTGTTTAATAATTGTAAACAAAGCCGCCAAAGATTGAGGAAAGATGTTCAGATTCGCAAGTGCTTGCGTAAGTGCTTTCGTGAATCTGGCCCTGGTGTACAACTCTACCTAAGTGTAGTTACAGAACGAGAGCTATACTCGTGGTGTCCCTCCTCCAACTCTGTCGTATAGTGCTTTGAAATTACTGACTTTTTGGCCTCCACCACCACCTCACCTAACTTGTTCCAACCGTCTACCATTCTTGTTTAACCCTTGTGTTGCTCAGGGCTATTTGGCCATTGTCACCCACAGGAGCATAACAAAACAAAACAAAAATTCTTCTAAACCTGTTAATTTGTGTTCTCTGATCACATGGGAAAAATAAAAAAAAAAAGTCGTAAGTGGCATATTTTGCCCGCTATAGGGCGGGGAAGTCTGGCAAAAAACAGGCGCTGACTCATCATGTGTCCCAGGCAGTCTGCTCCGCCCCAGCTGTCAGGCAGGAGTGGCCACAAAGAGATAATTACCTAATTATTTCAATATCTCTGATTGATTTTTCTTTGTTTTTTTTTTTTGCTGTAATATTATTCAATAGCATGTAGTGTGATATATTTATATAATAAAATGTGTGAATCATCGCTGTACTCAAAATTATGGTGTGCATAGTGTTGATTCAATTATTATGTTCATCAAACAGTGAACAAATACTTTGTCGGTTATTACACTATATACACAGGTTATATTTAAGTATGTGCATGTTTTGTTCACATAGCGAACCACTAAGTTGGTATTATGAGTCAAAAAGCAACGAGGAGTGACCGCCACACCACCAGCGAGCCACTCACTGCCATTCACTCCCTCAACACCTCACTCGCCCATATTCTCCTCCCACCATACTGTTTTTGCTTTAATTTACTATATACAGACGTTATATGTAAGAATCTACGTGTTTTGTTCACCACAACTGTACAACTAAGCTGATATAGTTAGTTCAGGTACTAAGAGACGTCGCTACACAGTCAGCTGGCGGCTGCCTCCCTCACACATTCAAGGTCAAACACACTGAAATTTCTCCCCCAACAGTACTGTTTGTGGTGTTATTACCCTATATACACACATTATTTATATAAGTATTTACATTTGTGTTCACCATAACGAACCACTAAGTTGGTATGCTGAGTGGCAGTGGCAGTCTTCCACTAGCTGTCACTTCCGCCCTCCCTCACCTCACCTGACTCTGCACCATTCTCCTCCCACCATACTGTTTTTACTTTTATATACAGACATTATATATAAGTATCTGCATGTTTTGTTCACCATAGTGAACAACTAAGCTGGTATAGTGAGTCCAGACAGTAGAAGGTGGTCACACACAGTCAGCAGACAATGCCACCTCCCTCCCCACCAAGATTACTCCTCCCACTACAGCGCTAATTATCACAACAATCCTGCTATTATCAGAATCCTGGTCATTTTTATCACAGTCAGGGATCAATACTATCATTGCTAAATAATACCATGAGCATATATATTATAGCATTTTTAAGCGATGCTGTGGTCACAAGCTGAACAGCAGTGCTGTGAGCTCATGCTACGTGTGCCAACCTTGGTGGCTCACTCAGTACTGAGGCCCTAACACCCAGGAATGTGGTCCATGATTTTTTTTAAAATGGCGTATGTTTACAAGAGCCCTGATGAAGGTGTGGTGAACTCCGTGTATTCGCAGGCTGTTTAAATCTTGCGTAGTGCTCCATCGCAGGTTACTCAACCCTTCATATGACGTGTTGCGCAGTTTAACCCTTAAACTGCGCAATACATATATATAGATGATTTCAGTATCAAAACCAAAACCGCGCAATACATTAATAGCTGTTTTAGTGTCTAGCGCCTTAATTTAAACGCCACGCGTGGGATAGGGGCAGCTATAGTGCAGCCACGCCCGATAGTTGACAAGATGCCATCTAGAAAAAAATTTGTGGCCAACATTCCTGGGTGTGAGAGCTTCAATAATGAGCAAGCCATCAAGGCTGATGCACGCACCATGAAGGAGTTGACCTGGGGTATCTTGGCCCCCTTTGACCCCACTTGGGTTTTGGTGCCCTCTTCGCAGGACTTGTTGTTACAGCTCTGCGTTGTTGTTACAGAACCGTTCGGTTCGAGACCCCCACAGTCCTGGTGAATGGAATGCTTATTTCCACGGAAGTGTGGATGCCAATTTAAATTTCCCATGTTCATCCAGCAATTTCTTGACATTCCTAAGCACTTCTGTCAGTCATACTGTCATATGTTTTACTCCATTAAATGTTGCCCTTCAGGGGCTATTGTCTTTCTCATTCTAAAATCACTGACATTTTCCTTCGATGTAAGGCCTTCTCCTAAACCTACTATATTCTCATTGATTTTTTATCTCTTCAACTGCTCTGTACACCCTAGATAGTATCTTCTTCCCCAAGCACCCAAAAATTAGTGCAGACATACCAAATACTTACCTACAGTGTTTTGAATTAATTTACTGCTTGTGGTAAGCTCCTTCCTAATTGCTTGCCTAATATTTGATTCTTGCTACTTACACCTGTTCTTGACTTCTAAACATACTACTTCGATTTTTTTTTTCAGCCTGTACATATGTTTGTTTCATTTCCTCTATACTTCAGCAATCCCTGAGTAACTTCCTCTACTTATATGTTTATGAAGTGTCCTTATGGCTGTCCTTACCTGACTCCATGTTTTTTCTAGCCTGTAGGGATTTTCCGAGTTCCTCAACATATGTATACATTTTCCTCTTAATTTCTTCAAATTCAACCCCCTTTATTTTCCGTATCTCATTATCTTTCTCAAATTGTTTAATAGGCAATTACTATTCCTTCACCTTGGCTGTCAAGCAGGCAATTTCCTCTTGCTGTTGAGAAATGCTTCTTTCAAATGTAAGACATTTCCTTCATGAATATTTATCATCCTCAATTTTCACTAACCTGTCCATAAGACCTCCATTTCTTATCTCATCCTCGGTAAATCCCTTGAAATTTGTCTCGCATGCTGGCTGATCAGTGTCCATGGAGGCGACCACTTTGTTTTGGTTCCTTCGCTGCAGTGTGACAGGCATCACAAACCTTCCTAAATTTGTATATGTACTTAATGCCACACTCCACTCCATCTAATATAACTTGATCTAGGAATACTTAAAATAGCAGGGACACCACTTGTTGATCTGTCACCCTGTGCTACCACCTAGATAGAGATTAGTTATCTTTCAGCTGTCTGTAATGTGACCATCCTCCATAAGAATATGTAATTACCTAAGTGTAGTTACAGAACGAGAGCTATGCTCGTGGTGTCGCGTCTTACCAGCACTCTGTTATATAATGCTTTGAAATTACTGATGTATGTGTGTATTTATAAGTTATAGTTTTTCCTTGATCATTTAGGCTTCCAAAAATTTTGTAAGAGAACCTTCAACATTATACATACTAACAAGATTTTGCATTTTTTTGTCTTGTTTTTATTTCTGATTATTAGTGATGTTGTAAATAAGTCAATTCTAATGTTTTGTAATTTTGCAGTTACCGAGATGGGCCAGGAAACCCAGTGAGATGTACCTATGAAGGAACCCTCAAAGATATGCTAGTCTGCATGAAGCCACGCCACCCCAAGAAGATATATTATCAGCAGCTTAGTATTAGAATTAATGAACTTGAAAATAAAAGGCAATTCAAGGTAATTTTTCGTATTTGGTCAGTGATTTAGCAGAAATTTAAGTTGCTAAAGGGATAAGAACAATTGAGTCCTGGAGTGAGTTTTACCTCTTCTACTGCAGTTTTTATTTGGTGGCTACTTCTCGTGTGCAGCTGATCCAACCACTTGGGCTGGACGGTAGAGCGACGGTCTCGCTTCATGCAGGTCGTCATTCAATCCCGACCATCCAAGAGGTTGGGCACCACTCCTTCCCTCCGTCTCATCCCAAAATCCTTATCCTTCCCCTTCCCAGTGCTGTGTAGTCGTAATAGCTTGGTGCTCTCTCCTGAAGGTTCCCTTCCTCTAATGTGCAGCTGTATTTTTAATAACGTATTCAAGGTTATAATTTTTCAGTGCAACTTTGATTCAGCAGAATACTAGTGTCTGGGACCAGGCCCAAGTCCTTGCAATCAGTGATGCCGAGGTGGCATTAGTATGATGTAATATTTTTTAACAATACACAAGAAAATACATTGCAGTGCCTGTTTTGCCTAATATGTGGATTGCACTGCGGATTCGTAGTTCTGAGGTTCCAGGTTCGATCCCCGGTGGAGGCAAACCCAAATGGGCAGTTTCTTTCACCCTGATACCTCTGTTACTTAGCAGTAAATAGGTACTTGGGAGTTTGACAGCTGCTACGGGCTGCTTCCTGGAGATTTCTTAACAAAAAAGGAGGCCTGGTCAACGACTGGGCCACAAGGACACTAAGCCCCGAAATCATCTCAAGATAACCTCAAGAAGATACCATTCATATTCTTAATATTTCCTGTGTTCTGTGGGCAAATTTCACAGAGTAAAAATCTAATTTCAGCCTATCATATGTTAAGATACCTACTAAGAGAACCTGACTAAAGAGATTACACCTTCATTTCCAGTACAGTGGTACTTCAGTTTTCGAATTTAATCCATTCCCAGAGATGGTCTGATATCCGAAAATTTGAGAACTGAAACAAATTTTCCCATAAGAAATTATGCAGATTAAATTAATCCGTTCTACACACCCAAAAATATTAACTGAAAAATACATTTTATACAGAATACTACTCATATTTTTCATACACAAAACAATCAGGTATAAATATAAACCATAAATAAAACAAGTGAACATTTAACTGCACTTTACCTTTACTGAGGACCCTTGTTGGTGTATGGGAGATGGTGAGGAGGGAGGGAGGAGTGCTGTTGGTGTATGGGGAGGGTGAGGAGAGGAGAGGAGGAGGAGGAGGAGGAGGAGGTGGTGAGAGATAGAAGGACCGTCCCCTGCTCGCCTCAAACATTTTCATGTCTGCATCACTGGTTCCAAAATTTCCTTTCACACATTTCACTGCCTCTGTAATGTGACAGCCAGTCAGAACCAGTCAGTCAGTCATATCATGTCATTCAGGCATTCACAGTCAAGACCAGTCACAGGCAGTCATAGCCAAAGGCAGTCAAGCATTCACAGTTGTGGTAGCAACCGGTTAGGCATTTACGGTCAGTCACGCATTCACAGTTAATCAGGCATTCACAGTCAATCAGGCTATAACAGTCACAACTAGTCAATTAGTAAGCAATAAGAGATTAATGTCAGGCACTCAGGGAGGCTGCCTTCTGACCCATCAGCTGGTAGCAAGGAATCCCACTGTATTAATACTGTCCATAATATTAAAAGGGTACAGTTGCGGGGAGGGGGGGGAGGGGGCAGTGGGGGGGATGAGGAAATGGAGGTAGCGAGGAGGGTGTGGGATGGGGGGGTCTTTGGGAGGAACTGTGGGTGACCAACTCCTGTGTTAGTCCTAGTCGGAAGCTCGCCCACCCACTCTGCCACCTGTCCTGCTACTCATCTACCCACCCACTGTCTCTTGACCGCCCTGTTACCACCCGCTATGTGCCTGCCGTGCCACCCACTGTCTCTTGACCGCCCTGTTACCACCCGCTATGTGCCTGCCGTGCCACCCACCTCCTTAGTCTTCTATCTGCCACCCACCTCCTTAGTCTTCCATCTGCCACCCGCTCCTGCTACTGCCTGCACTCCCACCCACTATTCTCACTCGGCCAAAAATCTCACTTCTGCCCGCCTGCACACTGGCACCTGCCAGACCACTACTGCCCGCCTATCCACCCACTTTGCCGCTCACCCTGCTACTCATCCATCCACTCAACGCTCACCTCCCCAACCACTCGCCTTCCACGTGTTCTTTCTTCCCCTTACATGATTGTTACTTAGTTACTTACTAAGTTACTTAGTTGTTAAACGTTACTTGTTACTTACATGATTGAATACCCCTGATTGACCATTATGACAAAATCACTGAGGCATTAGAAGAAAAACAGAATGCAGATGTTGTATACACAGATTTTGCAAAGACATTCGACAAATGTGACCATGGAGTGATTGCACACAAAATGAGGTCAATGGGTATAACTGGTAAAGTAGGACGCTGGATACTCAATTTCCTATCAAACAGAACACATAGTAACAGTCAATCAAGTAAAATTGAGTCCGAGCGCAGTTAAAAGCTCTGTACCTCAAGATACAGTCCTTGCACCACTGCTGTTCCTTATTCTCATATCAGATATAGACAAAAATACAAGTCACAGTTTCGTGTCATCCTTTGCAGATGTTACAAAAATCAGAATGAAAATTACCTCTACTGAAGACATTGAAAAACTACAAACAGACATTAACAAATTTTTCAATTGGGCAGCAGAAAATAACATGATGTTTAACGGTGATAAATACCAGGTACTCAGATACGGTAAAAATGAGGATCTAAAACATAATACATTGTACAAAACACAATCGAATCTGTCGATAGTAGGAAAACAGCATGTCAAGGATTTGGGAATAATGATGTCCGACGACCTAACGTTTAAGGAGCATAACCAAGCAAGTATTGCGTCAGCCAGAATAATGATAGGATGGATTACGAGAACCTTCAAGTCCAGAGATCCCATCACAATGGTTGTACTCTTCAAATCACTTGTGTTGTCCCGTCTTGAGTACTGCTCAGTACTCGCTTCCCCCTTCAGAGCAGAAGAAATTGCTGAAATAAAGGGAATACAGCGAACATATACGGCACGCATAGACGAGATAAAGCACCTAAATTATTGGGATTGTCTCAAAGCTCTCCAAATGTACTCACTAGAAGGAGACAAGAGAGATACCAAATAATATACACATGGAAAATACTGGAGGGACAGGTCCCAAATCTACATAGTAAAATAACAACGTACTGGAGTGAACAATATGGAAGAAAATGCAGAATAGAACCAGTGAAGAGCAGAGGTGCCATAGGCACAATCAGAGAACACTGTATAAACATCAGAGGTTCGCGGTTGTTCAACGTCCTACCAGTGAGAATCAGAAATATTGCCGGAACAACCGGGGACACCTTCAAGAGAAAACTAGATTATTTTCTTCAAGGAGTGCCGGACCAGCCGGGCTGTGGTGGGTATGTGGGCCTGCGGGCCGCTCCAAGCAACAGCCTGGTGGACCAAACTCTCACAAGTCAAGCCTGGCCTCGGGCCGGGCTTGGGGAGTAGAAGAACTCCCAGAACCCTCATGAAGCAGGTATATTTCTGGTAAACTGAGCAGTCTTCATCTCGCTCCCCGCAGAACAGAACAGAACCACACTCATTGCAAGTACATATATCAATAAACTCGAGCACCGAGGCAAACCTTGAGTACCGAGTAGAATTTTTTTAAGAAATTGAGCTCGAGAACCGAAAAATTTGAAAACAGGTGCATTTGAAAACCGAGGTTGCACTATATTTCTCAGAATCCACTTCCATGTATCTTATCTTTTAAAGGTAAGGCCATGATCCCAAAATGTTGTATGTGGACCTGGCCCATCAACTTGTCCACAACATCACGAGGGCAATACTGTAGATATAATGGATAAGAGTAAACCTATTTAACTTAAAACGAGGAAGGATGAGGTGGGACATCAGTGGAAGCTGGACTTGAAATTGAGTCGAAGAAATGTAAGGACCTTCTTGTTTCCTGTACGGGTGGTTGGCAAGGGGAATACGTTAAAGAAAAAGGTTATTGAAGCCATTCCATTCACAATTTTAAGAAGAACTATGATAAAAACATTAATGCTGAGAGCATAAATGGCTAGGAGGCCTAGTAAAGAGCTGGGATCTTTGGCTTTGCACACTAAGCAGATCCCCATATATCATCCAGTTACAACTACTCTGCACCCACTTTATAATTACAATGACAGCTAATTACTCCCGTTTTGTACGACAATTACTATATATATTTACAACAGCTCATCGTCCTGTTTTAGTAGATGAGGACCATAATATACCGATGTACAACACAGTTAGCAAGTAGAAATCATTACTATTGAATTTAGACAATGTCCGGTCGTGATGGTCCAGAATTTTTGCTCCTGGCATATATATATAGTATATATATATATATATATATATATATATATATATATATATATATATATATATATATATATATATATATATATATTATATATATATATAAAAATTCTGTCTGCAAAGACAAACTAACTTAACCTTCGTAGGCCTAATACACGATATCTGAGGCTTAATATAGTACGTGTTTGTGTGTGCTATACTAGGCCCTGGAATATTTAATTTTTTTTTTTAGCTTCATTTTCTGGGGGGAGCCCCTACAGCTCCCCGGAGCTATCCAGGCTGATATGTATATCATTAGACTTTGCCATCAGTCAGTGTGAATGAAGTTCTAGGCCTACCAGGGACCACGAGCCAGAACCTGGCCCCCTCAGAGAAACACTACATTCAGAGATTTACCCAGTTCTTTCTAAATCAAAATTTATTAATTATGCATCTATTATTTCACATTGTATTTTGTGTTGATATATTTAGCACCTAATTGTGCTTCAGGGTTATTAATTTAAGAAGAAATTTCATTATACTAGTCTCCTTTGGGAAAATTGCCAGATCGAGTGAAATATCCCATGTACCGAATTGGCTTTAGCCCCCATGTATGCCATATATAATATTTTTGCCATAATACCTAAGGCTACATTATAAATTATTCCACAATGCCTGAGGCTATCTGTTAATCATAGTTATGACATTATATATAGTCATAATTCTTGACCTTTCAGAGTATGTGGCTTGGGGAGAGAATGAAAGAAGAGCTCGAGTTAGTACTTTATCCAAATAAAAATGGAACAGTAGCTGACCTATTACATGAAGCCAGAAAGCAAGTTACGTTAGCAGAAAATGGTTCCGGTAAATTAAGGTAAGCCTTCATGAATTAAAATTATATTTTCTTATGAGTATCATGGAATATGTATTTTGAATATTATTTAAATGTTACTAAATTCAATATAAAACTTTCAGGCTTGTTGATATTGCGTCATATAAAATTGCCTCTACACCACCTGAGAATATGAGCTTGGAAAGCCTCAGTACAGCAGGTACAAGATCTTATCGAATAGAGGAAATTCCAACAGAGGAGCTCCATATTGCAGATGATGAAATGCTAATACCAGTTGCACATTTCCACAAAGAAATATTTTCAACCTTTGGCGTCCCATTCCTCTTCAAAATAAAACAAGGCGAGCTGTTCTCTCACGTTAGAGATCGTATACAGAAGAGGTTGGATGTGCCAGACAAGGAATTTGAAAAGGTCAGAATTGCACAATGCATTATTATATATATTTTCCAAATGTAAATATTTTTAGTTAGATTTCTTTACATGACAATATGAATTAAAAATAAAGGGCTATGATCATTTGAACTGAAAAGGTATGTATATATGTGTGTGTGTGTGTGTGTGTGTGTGTGTGTGTGTGTGTGTGTGTGTGTGTGTGTGTGTACTCATCTAATTGTACTTGCGGGGGTTGAGCTTTGGCTCTTTGGTCCCGCCTCTCAACCGTCAATCAACAGATGTACAGATTCCTGAGCCTACTGCACTCTATCATATCTGCATTTGAAACTGTGTGTGGAGTCAGCCTCCACCACATCACTTCGTAGTGCATTCCATTTACTAACTACTCTGACACTGAAAAAGTTTTTTTCTAATGTCTGTATGGCTCATTTGTGTACTCAGCTTCCACCTGTGTCCCCTTGTGCGTGTACCACCCATGTTAAGTAATCCATCCTTGCCTTCCCTGTAACGTCCCCTGAGAATTTTACGTGTGGTGATCATGTCTCCCCGAGCTCTTCTGTCTTCCAGCGATGTGAGGTACAGTTCACATTGCCTTGCCTCATAACTCATGCCTCATAGTTCTGGGACTAGCCTAGTGGCATACCTCTGAACTTTTTCCAGCTTCTTCTTGTGCTTGATAAGGTACAGGCTTCATGCTGGGGCTGCATACTCCAGGATTGGCCTTACATATGTGGAATACAGGGTTCTGAAGGATTCCTTACACAGGTTTCTGAAAGCAGTTCTGATGTAAGCCAGCCTCACATAGGCTGCTGATGTTATTCTTTTGATGTGGGCTTCAAGAGACAGGTTTGGCGTGGTATCAACTCCTAGATCTTACTCTGTCTGTTTCGTGAAGAACTTCATCTCCCATTCAGTATCCAGTGTCTGGCCTGCTATTTCCTCCTAGTTTCGTTACCTTACATTTACTTGGGTTGACCTTTAGTAGCCATTTGTTGGACCATTCATTCAGTGTGTCTGGGTCATCTTGCAGCCTCGTACTATCTTTCTCCGTCTTAATCCTTCTCATAATCTTGCATCATCAGCAAACATTGAGAGGAACGAGTCTATTCCTTCTGGGAAATCATTTACATATATCAGAAACAGTAAGTCCAAGGACTGATCCCTGTGGGTCTCCACTGGTGACTCCTCGCCAATCCGAGACCTCACCTCTCACAGTGACTCGCTGTGTCCTGTTGCTTAGGTGCTCCCTTATCCAGTGGAGTACCTTCCCTTTCACTCCTGCCTGCATCTCCAGTCTCTTATGTGGTACTGTCAAAGGCTTTTTGGCAGTCCAGAAATATGCAGTCTGCCCAGCCTTTTCTCTCTTGCCTAATTTTTGTTGCCTGGTCATAGAACTCAATTAAACCTGTAAGGCATGATTTGCCATCTCTGAGCCCCATGCTGATGTTCTGTTACAAAGTTCTTTGGCTCCAGATGTTCTACTAGGTTTTTTTTTGCATAATCCTCTCCATCATCTTGCATGGAATGCAAGTTAGGGACACTGGCCTGTAGTTCAGTGCCTCCTGCCTATCACCCTTCTTGTATATTGGGGTTATATTGGCCGTCTTCCAAATTTTTGGCAGTTCATCTGTTACCAGTGATTTGTTGTACACCATTGAGAGTGGCAGGCACAGAGCCTCTGCTCCTTCCTTTAGTATCCATGGTGAGATTCCATCCAGGCCTACAGCCTTTGTCACGTCCAAATCTAGCAGATGCTTCCTCACCTCCCGACTGGTAATCACAAACTCCTTTAGTGGTGTCTAGTTTGATGTTCCCTCTCTTATCTCTGGGACTTCTCCTTGCTCTGAGGTGAAGACCTGGAATTTCTTATCGAGTTCCTCACACACTTCTCTGTTGTTTGTAGTGAATCTTTCTGCCCCTATCCTCAGTTTCATTACCTGTTCCTTTACTTGTTTTCCTTCTGATGTGGCTATGCATCAGTTTGGGTTGAGTCTTTGCCTTGCTCGCTATGTCATTTTCATATTGCCTCTACCTCTCTTCTCACCCTTATGTATTCATTCCTGGTGCTCTGGTATCTTTCTCTGCTCTCTAGTGTTCTGTTGTTTCTATAGTTTCTATAGTTTCTTCACGCTCTTTTACTTAGTTGCTTTGCTAGCTTACAACTCTGATTAAATCATGGGTCATCTGCATTTCATTTTTTTCCTTTCGGACTGGGACGAACTTGTCTGCTGCCGCCTTACCCTCCTGTGTGATGTCCAGTCCATCTCCTTACACTTCTGTGTGATGTAGTCCATGATGTGTGTGTGATATTTATATTAGTATATTTTGGTAGCAGTCTTTCTTGTAAACATATGTTGTTGAATATGACCGAAAGGATAAGATTAATAATTCTAACACGAATCTTCTCAATATTTCTTACATTTTTCTTCACTGTCGAGGATTTTCTGTTCCACCAGCGCTAAAGAGTTTGTCTTTGTCCACCAGTGAGGTTCGGCTCCCATAGCCTTTCCTCGTAACTCATTCCTCTCAGTTCCGGGACCAGTCTGGTGGCATACCTCTGAATCTTCTCTAACTTTGTCTTGTGTTTAACTAGGTATGGACTCCAGGCTGGAGCTGCATACTCCAGGATTGGTCTTACATAAGTGGTATACAGGGTCCTGAACGATTCCTTACACAAGTTTCTAAAAGCAGTTCTTATATTGGCCAGTCTAGCATATGCCACTGATGATACCCTTTTGATGTGGGCCTCTGGGGACAGGTTCGGTGTGATATTGACCCCCAGATCTTTTTCTATTTAACTCTTACAGGATTTCACCTCCCGGATGGTACCTTGTGTTCAGCCTTCTGCTCCCTTCGCCTAATTTCATTACTTTACACTTTCCTGAGTTGAACTTTAGCAGCAATTTTCTAGACCATTCCTCCAGTTTGTCCAGGTCGTCCTGTAGTCTCTGTCTTATCTGTTTTGATTCTTCTCATAATTTTTGCATCATCAGCAAACATTGAGAGGAATGAGTCTATACCCTCTGGAAGGTCGTTTACATATACTAGAAACAGGATGAGTCCAAGTACAGAGCCCTGTGGGACTCCGCTGGTGACATCTCACCACTCTGATGCCTCCCCCCTCACCGTTACTCGCTGTTTCCTATTGCTTAGATACTCCCTTATCCACTGGAGCACCTTACCTTTTACTCCTGCCTCCTACTCCAACTTTTGTAACAGCCTTTTGTGAGGTACTGTGTCAAAGGCTTTCTGACAGTCCAAGAAAATGCAGTCTGCCCACCCTTCTCTTTCCTGCCTAATTTGTGTTGCTTGGTCATAGAATTTTACATAGAATGGTAGTTAGTATAAAGTAGTTATAATATTTATACCATGCTTTACTACGGCAAACTTCCTAAAAACTCAGTGGATAACAAAGCTTGAGACCAATTGAATCAATATTCTTATTGGATAACACTCATTCAAGAATTCTGGACTAGCAACCCAAAGAGCTCTTAGATACATAGAATAATAAATTGACTTTCACATTGTATCTGTACCCTGAGAAATAATGAGCATAAGATAAATTTTTCATAGACTTTCTGTAAACAGTAAACTTTAGTGAAAAGGCTCCTATCAAGGATAAGCACTCAGTGGCTGAAGACACTGTAAGTGTGAGTGGTGAAGGAGTTTAGACACTCCGCTTTAGCCCCATTCCAGGTTCCCCAGGCCTGGTGTATGGCTGTGTGGTGGTGTTGGAGGGAAAGAGGGAAAAGTTGTGCGAGGCTAACTGCAACTATATGGCCTCTAACCTTGAACAGATAGACATTCTCTCTTATTGATATTGATGACTAAATTATTTTTTAGGAGAAATGTCAGCACGTAGTGACAGATGAAATAGTGTTTCGTAAGTCTTTGGCTGTATATGCACTTTTATTCTTCACATTTTGTTTCAGTATCGCTTTGCAATTGTTGTGATGGCAAGGCCGACGTTTCTTACTGACGACGAGATAGTGAATCTGCAAGACTTCAAACCACATCCAAACCAAGGTAAGTCAATTTTGTTCATAATTTTGCTTAGGCGCAACTTTTGAGGTATAAAAGTGTAAAAAGTCTTGTTAAAATGGAAATTGCTTGCACTACGAGTATTTAACCCTTAAACTGTCCATGAGTAACATGTCCCACGGTGTGCATGGCATACATAAACGCCATAGGGTGCCAGGGACGATTCAAATGGCCCGTGGCTACATGGGGTTCACATCTGCTTCCTCGGGGCTCCTGTAAACAGACACCATGTTTAAAAAAAAACCTGGGCAGTATTCTCCGGTGTGAGAGCCACAGTACTGTGGGAGCAACCAAGGCTGGTGCACGCAGCATGTGCTAACAGCATTGTTGTTCAGCTTGTGACCACAGCATTGTCTAAAAATGTCAAAATAAATATGTAACTGCTATTATTTAGTGATGACAATATTACAGATGACCCCTGACTGTTATAAAAATGACCAGGATTGTGATAATGCAGGATTGTTGTGATAATTAGTGCTGTGTGGGAGTAGTAATGCTGTGGGACGGAGGGAGATAACGTCGTTTACTGACTGTGTGGCCACCTGTTATTGTCTGTATTCACCATACCAGCTCAGTGGTTCTCTATGGTGAACACAAATGTAGATACTTATATATATAATGTGTGTATTAGTGTAATAACAGCAAAAGGATTATGTTGGAGGAGCCATTTGGGTGACGGAGATGGCGTCGTCTGCGTGACTTGACTAGCTGTGTAGAGGGTGGCCACTATGCACCCTACAAGCTTAGGTGTACAGTTACGGTGCATACAACATGTAGATACTTATATATATTGTGTGTATATAGTGTAATAATACCCCAAACAGTATTGTTTGGGGAAGAAATTTAGTGTGCCTGACCTTGAATGAGTGAGGGAGGCAGCCGGCAGCTGACTGAGTGTAGCGATGTCTCTTAGGTCCTGAAGTAACTATATCAGCTTAGTTGTACAGTTGTGGTGAACAAAACATGTAGATACTAATGTCTGTAATAGTGTAATAACTGCAAAACTATTTGTTTATTGTTTTATGAACGTAATAATTGAACCACTAATATGAACTTACTTTTGAGTATAGCGATAATTCACACATTTTATTATATAAATCTATCACACTACACACTATTGAATGATATTACTGCAAAAAAACTAAGAAAAAATAAATCGGAGACATTGAAATAATTAGGTAATAACATCTTTGTGGCAACTCCCACCTGTCAGCTCGGGTGACGCTGACCGCCTCCGACGACCGCTCTGTCAACGCCCACATTTTGCCAGACTTCCTCGGCTTATTGCGCCCAAAATATGTCACCTACGATTTTTTTTCCCGTGCTTGGGGAACACAAATTAACATTTTTAGATGAAAATTTTTTTTAGATTATTTTTTTCTTGAGCACAGGGGTGTAAATCTCCTCAGAACCCCTTAGCAGCTTAATAACACTTTTGTCCGGGCATGACGCAATGCTGCATCGTCAGTTTACTGTCTGTAATCTCGGGGACGACGCAATGCTGCGTCGTCCACTAAAATAATCGCCAAAAATCATGTTTTTATCCGATTTTTGGGGGACTGGTTTTAAAATGCGCGCCTATGTCTTCCCTACACGCCTATGTCATGTTCAACACACAACACTAAGGTGGTAAGTACAAAAAATTGTATTATTTTGTTTATTTTTTTTTACATACTTTCGCATATTGTACTGGCAATATTGTTCTGGCAATATTGTTCTTCAATTGGCCCTTATATGCACATATCCATCTAAAGCATTCTATTAGGAACAATTTCATACTTAAATGAGCGTTGTAACACGAAAATTGAGATTAGCAACAAGTAATAATATTAAACATTTGTGGGCAGGAATTGGGAGTGTAGCTGGAAGGCGTCTGGGCGCTCACTCGCAGCTAACGGGTGGCCCGTCTTCAACTCGTTGGCGGGTGGAGCGTGACCAGGTTTTTATTTTATTTGCTAATATTCCTCTAGAGAATTCTATTGCGAACCCATTGATACCAAAATGAAAGACTTAGGACGAAAATTGAGATGACCAGAGTGAAAAGAGTGAACACATTTTATCGCTTCTGCGCGCTCCTGGGTAACTCGTTCGCACTTTCTCTGTTTGCTGCGGGTAATTAGCCGGGCTTTTGGAGTTTATATGCATTTAGTGCTGTAGAGAATTCTATTGCGAACACAATGATACCAAATTTAATCTCGTAGGACGAGAATTGAGGTGACAAAGTTGAAGAGTATACACTTTTCAGAATTAACGCGCGCTCCTGTGAAACGCTGGGACCCAAATTGCACAGTTGAGGGGTGGCACGCGGGGTACGCCAAAGTGTTAACATTATTTGCAAACAGTAACATGAATGAAACTTCTCGATCTGGTAGATCACTTGTATCAAAACCAATAGAGGTCCTAGTACTATCTAGATAGTATTGACTATCTGTCAGGTAGCTTTGTTTGTAGTTTTGAGCCTTCCTCGTTATCCCAGCTCATTTCTTTGTTCTTTTGTGGGACACTTTGCCAGAGGCTATATATCATTCTTGGAAGATGATAAAATAGAATTAGGGTTTTAAGGCAGGATATCATTCCCTGAACCCAGTTTGTATCTTATACTGTATATTCATTTTTCTCGTGAGAGTTTTATTGATTAGATTTATTTCTTGACCACCTTACAGGAATAAATATTTTGGATATTGGCTTGTTATTTAATGCCCCCTTCTTATAGACAAGTATTATAAATGCTTATAATATTTACACTTATACTTAAATATACTTTTTGGAAGTTCTCCCCATTCTAAAGTTTGAGTAGCTTTTTATTCTTATTACAGTACTATATTTCCTGCTGCTTCTTTTAGTATCTGGCAATGTCTTATCTTGTCTCACTGAATTTGATGCATCTATATAATTTTGTTGTTACTTTAAATACTCTTGTCTTCACCATATTAGTGTCTGGGAGGGCTACCCTTGGTGGCCTGCAGAGTTATTGCCCCTGGAACTCCCCCAAACCTTAGGTATCACACTTGGCTTTATCGAATCACAGGTGCTTACTGGAGACCAGGACAAGAATGTGGCGCCTTATTAGAGGCATAGAAGAGGTTGGGAATAAAAGATCACAAAACAATGAAAAGATCACCAGAATGTATGTAACGTACCAAAAGCAGCTGCTTGGATCACATTTGCAACCCCTGAAGTGTGCACACACTAGTTGTCTAGGTTCACCCGCTAGTACATATCATTCTCTTGCCACCTGGTGGCCACCCTGGCAACCCGAGGGTCTCGGCCATAATGGTTAGGCACTTTTTCCTGATAATTACCCCTACCTCCTTTAGATATTCATGTACCCTGTATCAGGGTACATGAATTGATATTTACTCGGGTACATTTTGATATTTAATATATTTTAATTTGATGTCCATTGAAGTGTACATAGGACATGAAGACAATTGCAACGGCATGTTATAAAACAATTGAAGATATTATATTATTTAATTTACCTGTATAATTCATTGTAAAGTTATTCAATGTCATGTTAAAATCTTTAATAATAAAGTTTAATCCTTAGACTGCGCATTACATACATATATGATTTGACAAAAAATAATTTAACAAGTTTTTAGAACTTGCACAATAACTTTCCAATTTTTTTACATAATCAACTAGGCAAATGCTCCAACTTTGCCTAAATGATCACAGTGTAACTTGAAAAACAAGAGAATCAAAATTAATTGTAAAATTGAATATTGAAAACTTCAGATTTTCAATTCAGATTAAAAAATATGAACTATCTATCATTAATTGTTCATTAAATGTTGTTATTCTCTCAGAATAGCAAATGATCTTCATTTTCATCAAATTAGAATATAGGTTTTCATTATAGTTTACTGTAAAAAAAATTGTCATAGGGCATTTGAAATATGTGGCAAATTTAGACCAAAGCAAATTATAACTCCAAATGTATAAAGTTTATGAAAAATTTTGATGGGATTGTAGAACAGACAACTGAGCACACAATATGTCAAAATAGTGAGAATCGGGTAATAACTGGAATTTTAGAAGCCACTCAAAGTTGAAACAGGTTTCAGAGATAATTGAAGTTGAAGTTATCAACAATGAATAAAGGTAGTTTTAATTCGTTAATTTACTTGTATGTTTTAATAAACATTGTTTGGCATTCGTACTCGGATATGTGAAAGTTGTAGGTCAATGTATGTTGAAATGAAGTGAAGAAAAAAATAACCCCCCTCCAAAAAAAACACAAAATATAGGGATAATTATAATATAATGATTTAGGGAATATATTTAGGGGTATACTTTATATAAGTGAAAAAGCCCTAATATGGTCCCTAATCATCAAAACCTAAATAGACAAAGAAAAAAAATTAAAAGTTCCAAGTTTTGCGAGTTGACTGATTTCATTCTATCTTCACATAGTTATGAAAACATATATGCGTTCTCCAGGATGTGAAGGTTACAACAAAATCAGATAATAAACAAAGGAGAAAAAATTAAAATCTTAAAAAAAAAATCCCCTAAAAAAATATGTTTGGGACATTGATGAAAGTAACATATTAACACTGGACAATGTATTTATATGATATATAACAAAATAGATCATATTAACATAGTTATTCATTATTATTTGTGTTATTATGTATTACTCAGCAATGATATAAAGGCACCAACTGCATATCCACTTTGTGGACACTTCTTACTGCTATTCTTCTTCTTTGAGCATAGGACAGGTGCTTGCAGCTCTATTACTGCATAATCCTTCAGTTTCAGTTATTAGGGTCTGTTCTCCTTATCAATAAAACGTTCTTACTTTTCAAAAATTCGTCTAAAATCAATTTCTGAAAATATTTTAATGAAAGTTTCACGACACTGAAGCCAATAAGTTGGAGATTTGTTTAACATTTTTAAGTTATTTTTACATAATTTGAATATTTTTTGCTTCCAATTATTCAAATGAAATGTTATAACTATATTCATTATCTCAATACTGTAGGCAAACACATTTGTGTAATGTATGCTATGCCCATTTTAATTATATTACTAATGTTAGCAGCTTCTACACCTGCAAAACCATGGTTGGGTCTGGAACACGTCAACAAGGCTCCAAAACGCTCCCGGTACAACTATCTGGAGAAAGCCATCAAGATATACAACTGAAAGTCAAGTTACTGGAATGAGAGCATTTCATGTGGAGTCAGTAGGAAAGCAGGAAGTGGGTGGTGGCTTCCTTGTTCCTGTGTGTGTTGCTGCTGCTCTGTGCCGTGCCCCACTTACAGTCGGTCTGTCATCTTTCAACTTTCATCCTCTATTAGCAGGTCTTAACAGTGATCCAGATAGGCATATGCACATGTGACTGGTATCATGTGATAGACTGCAATGGTCTGTGTGTGTACAGCACCAGTGTGGATGACAACGAGGCTAGACAAAACAGTGCTTTGTTTGCCAAAAAAGTGGTACAAGTGGGCATTGTCGGAGGCTAAGTGTTTTTTTTTTAATTATTTATATTTTAGAGAGGAAACACTGAATAGACAAGAATATGAGCATTATTATATGCATTGTGGAGCATTGCTGTACAGTTAGTCGCTGAAAAATGAAAGCATTTCTTAATGGTTGTTGTCCGACATTTTAGATTGTTTAGGTATCTGAATGTGCTTGAAGGCATTATTTGACTTATAGCCACGTTGTTTTATAAGTCTGTGATAAGGTAGTAGTAACAAAGGAGGTGGCTGAAGATGATACAATGCAGTGAACAGCTCAAGTGTGATGCAAACTGCAGCTCACAAGCTTAACTGATCCCCTAAAAGGAGCAGCAACTTTGCCACCAAACTCCAAGCTGGTGTTACAAGTCGTACCAGGTACTTTTGATAAAACACAACTTTTCTAGAACCTGAGTTTGTAACCAAAAAATAGTGGCCTGAATCATAAGTAAAGTTAAGGGGCAGTGGTTTACATAGGGCTTTTATTGATTGGTGACTTGTGTACTTGGTGTGTTTTCTGGAGTGGATATATTCTTACCTTGTTTCAAAGCCTATGAGATATACTACTATACCCTCTCAAGTGTTATACTAGGGGAAGCTTTATATGCATCCTTCATGACCTTGTGTATTGTCATACCCAGCCATTTGGCATTAAATAAGCTGTTGTATTCTCACTTGCCAAGATCTCTGTGACAAAATGGCACTACCACTAAGTCATCAAGTTTATCATGTCATTTAGGTTTTATACTATACAGTACTCTTGAGACAGCTTCACTCGCTAAATATGTTTTAGTTGAGAATGTTGTACTGGTACCTTCACATTTGATGATATTCTTGTTAAGATAAGTAATAATGTTTTGCACTAATTTTGTTCAGAATGGGGTAGTGTTGCCTTATTTATTCTCAGAAGTTAATACAAATGCTTAGTGAGCTTGATTTATGAGTTACTATAGTACAGTATATGATTGCTATCTATAACAAATTCCTGTGCATCTTTGAAATGGTAGAGATTTGTTGCAAAATATGTTTTATGTACATTATATTTTGTATATGGTCAAGCATGGTAAAGTAAATGAGAAAAATTATACTGATATATATATAATTTATTTATTTGTAATAAGCTTCAGTTTTTTTTTAAGATGTGTATAAAATGTGCACGCTACTATATTTGTCTAAAAAAAAACAAAAAAAAAGTCCAGTTGTATATCTTATAAATATGGAGTATATATATTAGAAAGACAGTTTATGGTAGGTTAGAGGGCTGGGAGCACTGCATCAGTGAATATGGAGGACCTCACACCAGCACACCACCACCACCACCGCCACCCACAAGTTTCCCTCTGCACTGTGACTGTGATACTACTCCGGCAGTGATCCATTCTGTACCAGGCACCAGTTGCACTTTGGTTTTCACTGTTAATGGATCAGTCAAGTAATACTTCAACCCACATTTTATGCAGCATGAGGATTGTACAGTTGTAGACAGAAATAATTCATATTTAACGTTTGTAATGAAATAGTATCTTAAACGCTATTATTTTCTTTAATTTTAGATTTTACTCCAAATTTGGTATTTAATTATAAACTGGAAGTTTAGTGAGTATGTAAATTACTACAGTTGATGTTGTTAGATAATCATTTTGTACAGTACTTTACATGACCCATGCTGTTACAGGATTTGTGACAACTGTGAATGGTTAAGTGTAACTGTTGCCTCATTTAAGGATGTTGACTCCTGTGGACATCATGAACAAAGCATCTGACTTTGTGAATATTTTATTTAATTCCTTATTGGTGCACTCGATGCAAAATTATTTTATACAAGTAGTACACTGTATTTACCCACATACAGCTGCATTCCAACTGTTGGATGCGTAAATGGCAGAACATTAATGGTGCCTCCCATGATGTAAGTCAAGGTAAAGGCATACTGTAAATGGCAAGGCTGGCTTCTTGTCAGCTACCTGCATGCGAACTGCTGTATTGGGGAGCCAGAACAGAGGGGCACTACCGCACTACCACCACGAGGAACGGATCTGCCACTAGGTAAAGTTTACCTTTTAATCCTCCCCTATATTTCTAGGCTTTCATATTCTGTACAGTTGATATATTTAGTTTTATTTTACGGGTGTCCATATTAAAAGTTTTACAGAACATGCTTCATTGCCTCTATAGGTGAGCAAGATAATGAGTGAGTGTTTTGGTCTAACAGTACCATTGCTTCACGGACACTTTTTAGCCAGACACAATCTGTACTTCTGTTAATAAATAAATCATAAGTAATAATATGTAAAAAGATTCACCTTGAAATATTGTTTGATTAACCACAAAAACCATTTATTACTTTTATTACATTTGTTGTTTTTAAAGGTATACTTTACCAGTTCTCTTAATTTGCAGTAGGTTCTCCTTCTGGGGAAGCCTCTTGGCTTCCTGAAGCTATGTTGCTGATGTTTTCTAATACTTAGCCACATCAACTACAGGAGTCTTATTGGCCTACTGGAAACCAGAGACAGAACCTGGTCTCCTCAAAGAGGCACAGGGAGCTGGGGATTGTTAGAATTACCTTACCTTGAGGTTACCTTGAGGTGATTCCGGAGCTCAGCGACCCCATGGCCCGGTTGTCGACCAGGCCACCTCGTTGCTGGGCTGGTCAACCAGGTTGTTGGACGCGGCTGCTCGCAGCCTGACATATGAGTCACAGGCTGGTTGATCAGGTATCCTTTGGAGGTGTTTGTCAAGTTCTCTCTTGAACACTGTGAAGGGTCGGCCAGTTATGCCCCTTATGTGTAGTGGAAGCGTGTTGAACAGTCTCGGGCCTCTGATGTTGATAGAGTTCTCTCTCTCAGAGTACCTGTTGCACCTCTGCTCTTCAATGGGGGTATTCTGCAGATCCTGCCATGCCTTCTGGTCTCATGTGCTATTATTTCTGTGTGCAGGTTTCGGACCAGCCCCTCTACTATTTTCCATGTGTAAATTATTATGTATCTCTCCTGCCTGCACTCAAGAGAATACAGATTTAGGCTCTTTAGTCGGTCCCAATAGTTTAGATGGTTTACCGAGTCTATTCAAGCAGTAAAAGATCTCTGCAAGCTCTCCAGGTCAGCAATTTCTCCAGCTTTGAAAGGGGCTGTCATTGTGCAGCGGTATTCCACTCTAAGAGAGCACTAGCATCTTGAAAAGTATCATCATCGGTATATCATCTCTTGTGTGAAAGGTTCTTGTTATCCAACCTGTCACTTTTTTTGCAGTTGTGTCGACTACTTTATTGTGTTCTTTAAATGTAAGGTCTTCCGACATCAGTACATCCAAATCCTTTACATTGCCTTTCCGTTCTATGTTATGATTTGACTGCATTTTGTACATGGTTTCTGTTTTTATATTTTAATTTTTCTGTAGTGCATGAGCTGAAACTTATCTTAAACACCATATTATTTTCTGTAGCCCATAGAAAGACCTGATTTACATCTGATTGGAGGTTTGCCGTGTCCTCTATGTTGTCTACTCCCATAAAAATCCTAGTGTCATCTGCAAAGGATGATACAGTGCTACAGATTGTGTCCTTGTCTATGTCCAATATGAGGACGAGAAAAAGTAATGGAACCAATGTAACGGTTCTATTGTTACGTAAAGTATGGTGACAAATAAACACAGACACTAAGATACTATATATATATTTGGTCGAATATACAGAAGTACACAGGTGATACGTTGGTGTGAGTTGAGCGCACTGAGCGTTGGTACAGTATCTCGCAAGTGTCTGCTCTAGACCACACTTGAAAGTAGGCACTGTACCCTGGGGGACAGCTCTTTATGGATGATGGTCCAGATTTTATTTTGTTGACTATTACACATTGGGTTCTATTAGTCAGGAAATTTTAGATCCATCTGCCTATTTTTCTGGTAATTCCCTTTGAATGCATTTTATGTGCAATAACACCATGGTCACATTTGTCAAAAGCTTTTGGGAAATCTGTGTAAATTACATCAGCATTTTGTTTGTCTTCCATGGCATCTAATGTCATATCATAGTGGTCATGATAGTGATAGTGGTCCAGCTACTGTGATAGGTCCAGCGTCCTGTTCTGAAACCATGTTGTCCGGGGTTATGGAGATGCTGCGATTCCATGTATTTTGTGATCTTACTTCTTACCACACTTACCACAAGATTTTTATGGTGTGATGTTAGTGCTATCGGTCTGTAATTTTTTTTGCCTCTGCCTTATTTTCCCCCGTTATGGAGTGGCGCTATCTGACGTTTTTAATATGTCATGGATAATGCCAGTATCTAGGCTTTGTCTCTTAAAAAATGTGAAGGGCCTGCGATAGAATTTTTTTAGTTCTTGATGATTATAGAGTTCCAAGAATCAGGGCCTGGTGCAGAGTGCATAGGCATACTGTCTATAGCTTCTTCAAAATCTAGTGGGGATAGGGTGACATCTGATATATGATTTGATGTTGGTATCATATCCATGAAAAATTCATTAGGGTTATCAATCTTCAGTGTGTTTAGTGGCTCGCTGAAAACAGTCGTACTGATTCCTCAGTATTTCGCTCATTTCTTTGTTGTCGCCTGTGAAAGTTCCATCTCCCTTTCGCAGGGACCCGATACTAGAAGTGGTTTTTTATCTTGATTTTGCACAGGAGAAAAAATATTTCAGATTTCTCTCTATTTCACTGATGGCCTTTTGCTCTCTTTGCCTTTCCTGGGTTGCGTATGATTCTTGTAGCTTTAGTTCAATTGTTTCTATTTCTCTACCTAACCTTCTTCACCATTCTTGAGATTAGGCGTGACTCAAGTTGTTCCGCGATTTGTTTTCTTCGCCTATAGAGGGAACGACGTTCCCTTGGTCACGAAAGCAGACGAAACCATACAAAACAACTGCTTGGCTTATGAAAACAATGCACCAAAATAGCCAATAGACACCAAATAAGAATCACTCAAAACAGAGAGATTCATACAAAACCCCAACACACATGTTCTCAGCCAATGGCATTCCCTACCCAAGATGGCCAAGCCAGCATCCCCTAACCCATGTTCAGTCTTGTTGCTTATGTGCATCGGTTAACTTCTTGCCTTTCCTAGCCCCAGGCCCCCTAGCCTGGTAATCAATCAAGTTCTGCTTTAAAATAAGTTCTGGCTATCTTTAGGACTTTATCCTTTGTGGGTTATTTTTATTGCTGGCGTATCATTACTAGTTTTTGGTACAGTATCTTGCTTCACGGACATGGAGACCAATGACCACAACCCAGGCCAACGTGTTTTTAGAGCGGGAAAATCATGCCTCTTACAGCTACTTGATCACTACGACAAAATCACAGATTTTGCCGTAGTGTTTTTTTTTGGCATTAGAAGAAAAACAGAATGCAGATGTGGTATATGTGGACTTTGCAAAGGCATTAGATAAATGTGACCATGGAGTGATAGCACACAAAATGAGGTCAATGAGAATAACTGGTAAGGTAGGGCAGTGAATACTCAGTTTTCAGTTGAACAGAACACAGTAACAGTCAACCAAATAGCGAGTCAGTGCAGTTAAAAGCTCTCTACCTTGGGGGTACAATCCTTACACCACTGCTTTTCCTTATTCTCATATCAGATATGGACAAAACTAAAAGTTACAGCTTTATATCATCCTTTGCAGATGACACAAAAATCAGCATGAAAATTACCTTTACTGAAGACATTATCCAGGGATCCCATCACAATGGTTGTACTGTACTATTCAAATCACTTGTGCTATCCTGTCTTGAGTACTCAGCAGTACTCGCTTCCCACCTTTAGAGCAGGAGAGATTGCTGAAATAGAGGGAATACAGAAAAAATATACAGCATACATAGATGTGATAAAGCACCTAAATCATTGGGATTGCCTCAAAGTTCTCCAAAGGTACTTGCTAGAAAGGAGATTGAAAGATACCAAATAATATACACGTTGAAAATACTGAAGAGCCAGGTCCCAGATCTACACGGTAAAATAACATATTGGAGTGAACAATATGGAAAAAAATGCAGAATAGAATCAGTGAAGAGCAGGGGTGCCATAGGCAAACTCAGAGAACACATTATAAACATCACAGTTGTTCCGTGATGTGTATAGTCCACGGTTGTTCAACATACTTCCAGCAAGTATAAGAAATATTGCAGGAAAAATCGTGGACATCAAGAGAAAATTGAATTGTTTTCTTCAAGAAGTGCCAGACCAACCAGGCTGTGGTGGATATGTGGGCCTATGAGTCACTCCAAGCAACAACCTGTTGGATCAAGCTCTCACTAGTCTGGCCTGGGGAATAGAACTCTCAGAACCCCATCAATCGGGTTTGTTCAAAGTTGCCACAGCTTTTGCCCTTTCACCCTATTCCCACGGAGTAGGAATAGTCTAAAAGTGGACAGACCAGAGTGGACCGTCAACAATGCATCCTTCTGTTGACTCCACAAGACACTCAGTTGCCTCAAGGTGGACCTCTTTGCATTGGCTTGGAACCGGTGGCTTCACTCCAAAGTGGCTGTTCCTTGATAGTGAAGCTCTCACAGTGGATGCATTTCAGCTGAACTGGTTGAGGTGGTATTCATTTACCTCTTTCATCCAGTTAAGGTGATGCTCTAGGTGCTTTCCAGGTTGAAGCTGTACTTGGGCAAGGTCATCCTTCTAGCCCCTTGGTTTCTGGCTCTTCTAGCGTAGTGTCCCAAACCAGTTTTTTTTTTTTTTTCAGTGGCTACACCTCTTTCAGCAGATCAGCACAATGACTTATCTTGCTGGTTTAACCTCCTCTGATGACTGTCTGTAGAATCAGGTTTACAACCATTTCTGTGGTGTGCAGGTAGCTGATTTGTTGGTGCTCCACTTGCATCTTTCATCATGGCAACAGGATGATATTTCATGATGCTCTATTTTGCCTCTTGATTCTTTTTCATCATGTTTTGTCTGTCAGTTCTAGTGGGTCTTTCCTTTATGTCCTGGATGTTTGTTGATCAGTACTTCATGTAATTTTTTGGCAAAAAATTAAACTGATGGTCACTTGTGCAGTTTTCACAGAACTTCTTTCATAGGTGTTCGGTGTCAATATTTTCCTCAGTTCCAGTTTGCAAGTTGTTATTGGCCTTCTTTCACGTTCAGCTGGCTCGTGCTACCTCTGAGTCTGTTAAGAGATGCCCCTTCAGTCTGTGATGTTTTTCTTACGGCATTGTTTTTATTGTCTCCTGACTCCATCTGTCAGGTTGGGGAAACTACGCTTTCCTCAGGAGGCATGGATTCGGTTTCTTTTGGCCCTGGTGGGCAGTTTCTTCACCTGTAGCTGTCCCTGTCTTTTTTTTGGGCAAAAAATTAAACTGATGGTCTCTTGGTATATGATGCTTGGTTTCTCCGGCCAGATGTGCATCATTTGTTGTGTCCAGTAACAGCAGTTTGTCACTACCTGTGCACTACCAGTTCTGCTGTGGTGGATGTGCTGTTTGTCAATCTGGTCGCCTTAGTTCCCTGTTCTGGGCATGTTTGTCCTTGGTGTCATCAAAGCTAGCCAGTCTGCAGTCTTCTCTCGGGTCCAAGATGTTCATCTTTGGTATGTTGTGTGCTGATAGTCAGGCTTTTGGGAATTAGAGATCTAATAAGGACCTGGCAGCTAGGAATTTGGTCAGTGTTCGTGGTCCCAGTAAGACTTTTGTTGTTGTGGGCCAGGTTTCTCAGCCTGGTGTTTTTTCAACCTTGTAGCTGCCACCTCCTCTTCCTTGTAAGTCCCTCTTTCCTTCTCTGTTATTATCTTCAGGGAGCCACCAAGGTGCTTCCCCAGAAAAACCTGCATTGAAGGTAATGAAATGTCCCATTCTTGGAGAGCCCGGGGGCCAGATTCACGAAGCCGTTACGCAAGCACTTACGAACCAGTACATCTTTTCTCAATCTTTACCAGCTTTGTTTATAATTATTAAACAGTTTATGAGCTTGGAAGCACCAGGAGGCTGTTTATAACAATAACAAAAGTTGATTGGGAAGTTTTCATGCTTGTAAACTGTTTAATAAATGTAACTAAAGCTGTCAAAAATTGAGGAAAGATGTACACGTTCGGAAGTACAGTACTTGCGTAAATGCTTCATGCGACAGGTGTAACGGTTCCTGGCCCATCACCAATGGACTGAAAGTGGGGTAGGGGGACACCATTTTGGCTGTTAGCAGGCGACTTGGTGCATGCACTCTGTGGTAGTGATTTCACATGAACCATTTCGTGTCAAGTGATTCTTTTGCAGTGTGTGTTGGTTGTTTCGATGCTTTGATTTCATGAACCAAGCACTTATTTTGTGTTGCTTCATCTGCTTTCTTGACGAGGGTGATCATAAGTTTCCCCTCTTCCCTGTGGCTCTTCAAGGCGGCCAGGGTCTGGCTCTGGACTTCGGAAGGCCAATGAAACTCCTGTGATTGATGTGTCTAAGTATTGGGAAGCTTTATCGTCAACATAACTCCAGGGAGCCACCAAGGCTCACCCAGAAAGGGGCATTTCATTACATTCTATGCTGGTTTTTCAGGAATTCTCAATAAGGATACCTTATGATTTTCACAGGCAATTTTTACATTTGTGGTACCCGTGAGATATCTGGAGAATGCCTTCACAAGGCCGCTTAAAACACATGCATTACAGTGTAGTAACATTATTACATTGTGATTATACCCCATATTTGCATTATGTAGAAAGCTACAGCTTGGTGTACAAAGTTCAACACTTGGGCTCTAGTGAACTTAGTACTGGTACTTTTTTTAATAGCTCACTAGTAACACTTCTTCCTACTTACAATATACAACAATGCCACCACCTTATGATGATTGAAAGACCTGCAAAGTCAAATTATTTTATTAAATTAATTCAGTTTTTTAGATGTACACATAGTACCCACAAAAATCAGTTATCCATGTGCTCTTGGGCTCAACTTGTGTGGATATGGTATAAATGGCTGTACTGTGTATGCAGGCGGTACATGCTCAGCACATTCTCAGTCATATAGTGTAGCTAAACCACTTAATTGCTACCATATATGCATACCTCCAAGTGTTCATTACATACTCATTAACAAACCAAATATTGAGAGGCTAATTATTGCTCAAATGCAGAGTAAAAAGTTTTATAACTATTTTAGACCAGTATACACATAGCTCTGACTATAAAACATCACTCCAGGTCGGCCAACCCTTGTCTCCTGTGCGAATGGTAGGATGCTGATTCCCTTCTTTGATGTTTGCCATAAAACGAAGCAGCTAATGTAGCCTTATCTTGTTTCCTGAACTCCTGTTTCTTGAACACTTCAATGGGCTCCAACACTATCATATCTAACTTCTGTGAAAATAAAACAAAAGCCTTGTCAATAATCTTCCACAATTTAGTATTATCTCATGTCTCAAATTTCCATAAACCATATTTTGATAAACCTGTGTATCTTAGATATGGTAAAGTTTACTGTACAGTGGAACCCTCAAAAGCTATCATATTGTTCCTGGACCTAATTTAGATTCACACAAATACTGACTTCCAAAACACTGCCCTTTTTTGGGATAGTTATCATTTTTTAGTGATTTCAAAGGAAATGATACATGTTTATGCATGTTTATTTATATATAAATCCAGTGGTGAATGTAATAAAATGCTACCCACCTGAAAAAAGTAATCTAGAAAAGGATTGTAGTACAGTACTGTACATTAGTAGAGTAAATTTTATAACAAAGACACAAAATGGTATCTGAGAAAATCATGTTTAACAAACTTGATTGGTTTCTAAGACAGTTTCCAAATAAGATGAGAAGGAATAATGGGTAAACTTCCTATGCTGCCAAAAAAAACAGCGTTGAATGTAATGAAATGCCATTTTCTGGGCGAGTCCCAGAGGCTCCCTGGAGCTATCTAGGCTGATAGGGATATCCCCAACTTTTGGCATCAGTCGATGTGGGTGGAGTTCTAGGTCTACCGGGGACCACGAGCCAGATCCTAGCCCTCTCAGAGAGGCAGCAATGGCCTATAGAATGCATTTGTGACTTTGGAGCATTCTATATCTGCCATCGACTGGGCCAGGCACCCAGAAAGGTAAGCGCCCCAAAACAAACTCCTATTCTGGTGAAAACGACAAAAATAGATAAATGAGTGGACAGAATTCCCCAAATGAAAACAAGCAAACAAGCATGATGTCACACGAGCCACGTCGCACGTCTACCCAGCTCCCCCATCCCCAGGAGGAGGCAGTGGAAGCCCAAGACCCCCGTGCCGGTGATCCACATCCCAGTTCTGAGGCTGGATATCTATACGTTAAAATACTCCGAGCGAAGGGAGGGAGGGAGGTTTGCCGAGGAGCCTCCGGGACTCGCCCAGAAAATGGCGTTTCATTACATTTAATGCTGGTTTAATGGGGGAAACCCCTATGGCTCCCTGGTGCTCACATCTCAACTTGAAGTCAAGACAACTGGCTGCAACCGCTGACCCAAAGCGACACAGGCCCGACTTGGCCCAGGAACATTCATGATGTAGCGTGCAGCCAGCACCCTGTTCGACCGCCAAAAACCTTGTGCCTGAATGTCAAACCAAGACATGTTACAAAAGACGGCAGCAAAAGCAGCAAACTTACGAATGTCATGGACACAGGGATAGACCGCAGGTTGGCTAGACTTAATAACCCTGCAGACGACCTGAGAGACCCATACCCATGAACAGGGAAGAAGGGAAATCTGATCAACCCAAAGCGTGTCCCAGGACACAGGAGCCGTGGCACGCAAATAACGGCGGAGGGCTGCAACTGGACACAACACATGATGCATCCCCGGCCTGACCAAACAAGCATCAAGAACCCAAGGACCCCTCCGGAAAGCAGCAGTGTCATTCTTCGCCAGAAAAGAAGGAGACGGCTGCAGACGAACAAATCTATCACCATGACCAAAAGAGCAGAAACCCCTGTGCCGGATAAGAGCATGAAGTTCCGCAACCCGACGCCCCCAGAGGACAATGCCAACAGGAAAAGAACCTTAGAAAAAAATACTAAACCGATGGGGCCACAACAAACCGAGGAGAAGAGAGGTAGGAGAGCACTCTGTCTAAAGACCGGGACGGCTCAGGCATGAGCAGGCTGGAAGTGAAACAACGCATGAGACAGCTTGTGAAACGGTGCAGAAGTGACATCTATACCAAAAATAAGCTGCAGTGGCTCCGTCAGCGCCGCATGATTCGAGGCAACAGTATTAGGCATAAGATGATGGTCCTGGAACAACAATGAGAGAAAGGACAACACCACCTGAACCAAAAGCAAAGTACAATGACGGAGAATCAAAAAGAAATGGAAGGACCGCCAGGAAACTTCATATTGCCGCTGAGACGAAGCCTGCAGTTGGGACATCATCAAAGAAGCCACCTGATCACCATATAGATGGTGATACACTCGAGTCAAAAATACTTAATGCGAAGATGCGAGGAGAAGAGCGAACCAGTCTCATAACGAACCGGGCCGATCTATTGAAAGAGGCAGAACCGCAGAAAAATCTCCAGGTTCGGACACCGGGCAAGCAGTGCCTGAAACCATGGCTGAGCCAGCCACCATGGGGCCAAGAGGACTACTCGCCCCTGATAAGTCTCCAAGCGAGCCAGGACCTGGAGCAACAGCTGAATCAGGAAGATGGGGAGAGGTACAGGAACCCCCACCTCAACCAGGCCTGCAGGAAGGCCTCGCGGTCGGGGAAGGGCGCTACATATACCAGAAGACACCTCGACCATGCCGACGCTAAGAGGTCCCACTGTCCCTGGCCGGCCTGGTGAGCACTGGTCACAAAGCCCCAGCCGAGAGACGACACGTCCATGAACACATTGAGCGAGGGCTCAGACAGGCGCCAAGGCACTAAACCCCGAAAACCCCTTAGAGGTAGCCGGCGACGCAACAGCCGACATAAGGCCTCCAGGTGGTCTAATCCAGCGATCGGGAGAGAGGTGGAAGGAACATCCCAAAAGGAACCAGAACAGCCGACGAAGCCAAACCCGACCCGGCGCCTAGACCATCATCGCAAAGTTCAGGCTCCTGCACAGACCCTCGAGCAACCGTCGGGTGACCCGGGAACCCTCCAAAAACAAGCTCATGCGGGACCACAGCCGAAGGAGAGACTCCAGAGGAAGAGACAAGGAAGCGGTCCGAGAGTCCCACCCAAGACCCAGTCAGGTCCGAACCTGAGAGGGTACAAGTTGGGACTTCCGCCAGTTCACCAGGAACACAAACCCTGCGAGCTGGGAAAGCACCAAACCCCTGGCGAGCAACTGGGAGCCCAAACCAGCCAGTCATCAAGGTAAGCCAACACCCAAATACCTAACAGACGCAGATGGGTCATGGTGATGGGCCACCATGACCCGGGTAAGGCGTGTGAACATGTGAGGTGCCAGATTCAACCCGAAAGGGAGACAATGAAAGCGGTAACTCTGATGCCTCACAACAAACCCAAGCCAGTCTTTGAATCTTGGATGAATCAGGATGCCCCATTATGCTCCTTGAGGTCGTGGGACACCATCCAAGCGCCCGGCTCCAACAGAAGCCGGACCTGGAACAGAGTGGTCATCCGAAAGGAGGGGAAAGACCCAGGTGAGTGGATCTTGCCCCACTCACCTGGGTCAAAATGGGAAATTAGGTGCAAAATGAACTTTTCTGCATCCTCGAAAATGCAGGAACATGTTGGCGAGAGGTACATGCTGTTTTGGAATGGAGTGTAGATACTTTCACCCTAAGCTATGTAAATTCTCAATTAAGGACAAAAAATGTTACAATCTTCAGTGCCCGGAATTCCACGTGAGAGGTACACAGCGTTATAAGATGGGAAGATCAATATGATACTACTGGAATTTTTTTTAGAGGAAGGCAGAAACAGAGTAAAACATATAAGAGAGAGAAACAGGCAGATAGAACCACTGCAGGATTACAGAGGAAAAAGGAGATACCCACAAGACTGGAATACAAATCATGAACAAGCACACAGATACTACACCACACAACAACCCCACTACTACCAAAACTGGACGAACCACTACCAAAACACACCCTGGACCTGGGTGGAGAGGGGGGAGAGAACTACCAAAGCTCACCAGAAGTGACACGCAATATGGGAAATCATTCATATTTGCAAAAATACAAGGCCTAAAATCAAAATCAAGATAAGGTTAAGTTCATAAATGACCTTCTAATAGAATCGAACTCAATATTTGGTGCATTTACAGAAACCCACACAAAAGACCACATGGATAATGAAATCTGGATCCCAAATTATAATCTATATACAGCATCCACTCAATTTAACGGCCTATATAGGGGTGTACCCTGGTCGTTATTCCGGTACAGTATTTCCAAAGTTAAGTGTCGGGTAATTTTTCAAGTAACTTTCAGGTAGGATATATTTTATACTGCATAACTAACATTAAATAAAGTTCATTGTGTAATTGCGTTCCAATTTAGTGCCACGCCGACGATTAAGCCAGCTGTTGGCTGCTGCATGGATGATGCGTGAACACGCTCTGATCAAGTCTAGATGGGTGGGAAAAAATCGGTTCATTCCTTTGTATTGCAAAATATTTCATGTATCAAATATTTATTTTTAATGTTACGACACAGGCTGTGGCGGCCAGGCCATACAATGGCGATTGAGCCTTGTCACTAACTGAGAGCTAATGAAAGATGAAAGACCAAGACGAAATCTTTTGAGTTCACCTTTTCTCTGCTAATGATATAATATATATTTACAGAGACTAATATGTAGCATTTGTTGTAAAAACAATTAATATGTTGTAATACTATAATCAAATTGGTAAATTGACTTACTTTTTACAAAGCTGTGAACATTACGTCATCCTCTGCAGCACTTATTTTATATTGTTCAATACTGTATACAGGGTACATACAGTATGTACACTTACTTTCAAGCATTCACTTCACATAACAGCTAGGCTTACTACTAATTCACATGAGAGTAACACACTGCACTTTAATAAAAAAATAGTTTACTAAGAGCTGTAATGCATTTGTACAATTTAAAATTATTTCTATATTTACACTGTGTACAGTATACTGTGCAGTATCTTTTTTTCAAGGCATAATTAATAATTAACACTTACAATACTGTACTCTATCAACACTTTTTACACAAATTTATATGCATTTCATATTTTATATCGTTAGTGGATGCTCCACGACTTATTGATGGGAATTCAGCATCGGCGGGTGCAGCATAGCTTGTAGAGCATTCGTTGCTGGCGGAGGCTGTACAACTTGTTGATGGGAATTCAGCATCGGCGGGTGCAGGATGGCTTGTAGACAAAGATTTTTCACGAAC